GTGAGGATGTTTTTAAACCTATTGAAATTAGCCACAACAAGGTTTTAAACACTGTTCTCTTCAGCCAAACATGATTAGCTATCTCATTAGGTGAGTCAGGTGTTGCTAGGTGGTTGCTATAGTATCCGGAGTGGTTGCTAGGGTGTTGCTGGGAGCTTGCTATGTTATCGAAGATGGTTGCTAAGGTGTTACTAGGTGGTTGCTAAGGTGTTGCTAGGCAGGTGCTCCTCTTATTGTCATTTTTTTAATCCCTCATTTCTGTCATATGTATGTGTGTACATGTATATGCAAATATATTGCTGCTGTCTGAAGAAAACCTAGTATCTCCATTTTTGTTGTTTTTCTGTTTTTGACACAACTTGAAAATGCCTGTTGCCCTGTAAATTTCATGAAGAATGGACCAAAAAAACGACCCAAAATGATTTGGGAAAATGTCTTGTTCCATTCACTTCCATTGAGTAAAGTAGGTTTTTTCCTTTTCCTGTAAAGATTTAGAAGACATGAGGTTTTCCTCCCGACAACAGTGAAATCTTCAGCAAAATTTTCAGTAATTTCAATGCAGCTCCACTGCCTGATTGTGATTATAATGAACTATTCCACGTTTTCACGTGATGATTTCACGCAGCTAGTGTAGACAACATCATTGATTATAATGTGAGCTTTTGGTTTTCTACTTGCTGTTAGGTCACAGTGAACGAGAGAGGAAAGCAAAAAAAAAAAATGTCACTACACAGTTTTGGGGTAGTTACTTAAAAAAAAAAAAGAAATTCCATTCAAGTTACTAATTACTGTTCTCATACAGGGATTGCATTACATATTACTTCCTGGAAAACTAAACTAAATAGATAAATAAACAAAACTCTAATAATTTCTTTAATAATTATTCTAATAATTGTTTTACTCCTATGATACTTTGAACCAAATTATCTCATTATATTGCCAAGCTTTTTTTCTACAGTGGATATACCACTTGGAAGCCCAGGGCCTCAACTTATTTAAACTGTACTTTCAGGGGGCTACAATACTACTATAATTTTATTTAAAAGTAGAGAATGGTGCTTTATTAGTGTTGAATAGAAGTTTTGAGTTACACGCCTTAGCTGAAAGTAGTATTACTATTGAATACCTAACTTGTCAAACTCAAATTCAAATGAGAACTGTCCTAACACAGCCTCGTGGGAAATTTAGTTTTGGAACCATTTTTAAGCCATTTTTAACAGACAGCACTTCCTAAAAGAGGCAGCAGTATTTTATTATTATCAGAACAGGTTTAATGCTCCTTCCTGTGACTATGTAAGAGAGTACATAGAGATAAGCTGTTTTATGATTCAGTGATAAACTTTGTCTACAGTGATAAATATCTACAGTCAGCGAGAGGAACGACCAAAAGGTTAAAGTCCAACCACATCGGACCTCTTTACAGCATTTTCTCAGTAACGATTGTCAACGTTTATTCAGAATCTGTTCCGCATTCTCCCATTAAAACCCCAAACTGCTTTAAACTGGGCTGAACTTAGTGGCAAATGAGTTTATGTTCATTAAAATGTCACTCAGTGACCAGCGGCACCTGCCACCAGAAGAAAAATACTTCATGTATTTTACTGTGAGTGATATTTGGATTGTTATTCCTTGTTTGTTCAAATATTTCCAGTACATTTGATCAACTAAACTAAATAACACAGTTATCAAGAAATATTTGTAATTTTTAATTTAAAAAGGGCCTATTCGTTTAGACAGAAGTATCTTGAAGTATCAATTTGGATGTGGGCGGGGCCAGGTATGCTATGAATCAACTTTAATCCAAATAATCTGGCCTAACATGGCAAACTAGAAAAGTGCATTTCCTAAAGGAAATGTGGAATGGTTGCACAGCGGTTACAATGGAAGTCATTAGGAGGAATGGGGGATGAAAAAACTACACATAGAGGAGAGTGGGTCAGTATGGCTGTGGATTAGAGCTTGGAGACCTGATCTGAATGAGTACATTGTGGCTGTTTGAGAAAAAGATAGATCAGGGCTTTTTTGCGAAAGAAAATGAATGGGACACTATTGAAGGAAAGAGGGATGATTAAAATGACATATAGAGGAGTGCGTGTCAGTGTGGCTGTGGAATAGAGCTTGGGAATGTGCCCATGCATTTCAGTGTCTGTTGCACAATCGAAAAAACAGGGCTATGGTTTGCCCGAAAATAAATGGATTAAAGCTTGGGGATGTGCCCTGAGTGAGTACATGCATTTTGGTGGCTGTCGGCCAAAGAAGTAATACAGTTTAAGTGGTGGCAAAAATGAATGAGACTCTATGAGAGGAACGAGGGATGAAAAAACGACAAATAGAGGAGTGCGGGTCAGTATGGCTATGTATTAGAGCTTGGGAATGTGCCCTGAGTGAGTACATGCATTTCGGTGGCTGTGGGACAAAGAAGCAATAGAGTTTGAGTTGTGGTAAAAATGAATGAGGGATGATAAAATGACAGAAAGAGGAGTGCAGGTCAGAATGACTTTGGATTGGAGCTTGGGGACCTGCCCTGAAGTGAGTACATGCAGTTTGTTTGCCGTCGGGTAAAGAAGCAATAGAGTTTGAGTGGTGGGGAAAATGAATGGGACTCCAAGGGTGGAACAAGGGATGAAAAAACGACAAATAGAGGAGTGCGGGTCAGGACGGCTGTGGATTAGAACTTCTGAATGAGCACATGCATTTTGGTGACTGTCGGGCAAAGAAGTGATAGAGTTTGAGTGGTGGCGAAAATGAATGGGACTCAATGAGAGGAACGAGGGATGAAAAAAATGACACAAAGAGGAGTGCGGGTAAATATGGCGGTGGATTAGTTCTTGTGCTAGCTAAGCACAATTCCACCTTAAAAACAGTTCCACCTTAAAAACTCATTATGTATGCTGATACTGCTGAACAAAAGTGAATTGGGGGCCTGCCCTGAGATAGTGTATGAAAAACGGTGTCATTTGGACAAGCAGAAGTACCTTAGATTGGCATGCAAATGTTCACCCCATTCATTCTCTATGGGAAAAAATTCCGCAAAGTTCCATTGCTACACGGAATCCGCGCATCCGATCAAAATGCTGTATACAAGCACGCATCACACAATCAGGCCGGAAAATCTGGATTTGGAATGGTGTCGATATCGCAAAAGCTGCAGGACTAGTTACGTGGCGAAGAAACGGCAGAAAATAAAAAGAATAACTAGAAAAGTGCATTTCCTAAAGGAAACGTGGAATAGTTGCGCAGTGGTTACTATGGAAGTCATTAGGTGGAACGAGGGATGATAAAACTACACATAGAGGAGTGTGGGTCAGTAAGGCAGTGGATTAGAGCTTGGAGACCTGATCTAAATGAGTACATGTACTTTGGTGACTGTTGGGGAAAAAGACAGATTAGGGCTTTTGTTTGCGAAAGAAAATGAATTGGACGCTATGGGAGGAATGAGGGATGAAAAAAACAACATATAGAGGAGTGCAGGTCAGTAAAGCTGTGGATTAGAGCTTAGGTATCTGCCCATGCATTTCGGTGTCTGTTGCATAGTGGAAAAAACAGGGCTACAGTTTGGCCAAGGGATGAAAAAATCAGAAACAGACGAGTGCGGGTCAGTATGGCTATGGACTACAGCTTGGGGATGTGCCCTGAGTGACTACATGCACTTCGGTGGCTGTGGGGCAAAAAAGTAATAGAGTTTGAGTGGTGGGGAAAATGAATGAGACTCTATGAGAGGAACAAGGGATGAAAAAATGACAAATAGAGGAGTGCGGGTCAGGACGGCTGTGGACTAGAGCTTGGAGACCGTCCCTTAATGAGTACATGTAGTTTGTTTGCTGTCGGGCAAAGAAGTAATAGAGTTTGAGTGGTAGCGAAAATGAATGAGACTCAATGAGAGGAACGAGGGATGAAAAAATTAAGAGGAGTGCGGGTCAGTATGACGGTGGATTAGTTCTTGTGCTAGCTAAGTACAATTCCACCTTAAAAACAGTTCCACCTTAAAAAAAAATCATTGTGTGTGTGCTGACACTGCTGAGCATTAGGCTGGGAGCATGTGAGACATTGGGCTCCGTGCGTGAATTTGTATGGGTGTGTGAGTTAAGGGCCCATTGTGACATCACGTGTGGCATGCTGCCAACACTCCGCTCAATGTAAGCCTATGGGAGAGACGAAGGATGGAAAAAAACCACAAACGGATGAGTGCGGGTCAAAACAACAGTGAATTCATGCTTGGGGGCCTGCCCTGAGATAGTGTATGAAAAAACGGTGTCGTTCGGGCAAGCAGAAGTACCTTAGATTGGCATGCAAATGTTCACCCCATTCATCTCTATGGGAAAAAATTCCGCAAAATTCCCTTACCACACGAAATCCGTGCATTCGATCAAAAAGCTGTATACAAGCACGCATCACGCAATCAGACAATCTGGAGCTGGAATGGTGTTGATATCTCGAAAGCTGCGGGACTAGTTACGCGGCACAGAAACGGCAGAAAAATAAGAGTAAAGAAGATAATAATAATAATAATAATAATAATAATAATAATAATAATAATCGGCCAAAGCAATGCGCAACCATAATGACAGTGAAGGAGGGACACAAAACTGGAACTGTCTAACTTGTCTAACCTTTACTGTGTTATTATATTCATCTCTAAATTTATCAGAAAACAGTATTATCATATAAAACACCTGTACATCTAATCAGACTAGTCATATTAAATCTCCACATGGATGTTAACTGTGCAGATCGAAATGTAACCATGACAACAACAAAAACAAACAAACAAAACTGACACTAAACATAGACGCTAAACTGTTTTTTAGATCAAAACATGCTTTAATATATTAAAATTTAATGAAATAATGAAATTAAATTGCTAAAAATAAAAATAAACTCACAAAAAGAAGACAAAGGGCCGTGCTGATAGCCAATCAGAGCGCAGTACGGCGTGACTCCGCCCCTTCGCTCTGTGCCGCCTGTCAGTCAGGGGCGCGGGCGCGGGCGCGAGGCGGGAGGATAACATGGCGACGCGGTGCCGCAGCGCGAAGTGCGCGGCGGAAAGAAGGGGCGTGCGCAGAGAGCTCGAGACGTGGAGACACAAGCTCATCGCCTGCGTGGGTAAGAGATTAAAACATAACAACAAAGAAAAGTAAATGTATATATGAATATAAACAAATACACAAACGAATCTTTACATCATGTATCGGTGCTGAGAGCCGAGAGCCGAGAGCTGAGAGCTAGGAAGGCTTCTATTTGCAATTTTCCTGTCCACCTTAAACGGTGCAGCAGTTCCGTTCTGGCACTTGGAGGCGCCCGAATGTAACTGCTACACCATTTAAGGTGGAACGGAAAATTCGGAGAAGCCAATTTTAGCCTCTGTCACAAAGAGGAGAAGACACAAAGCCGCACACTCGGTAAAACGCACACAAACACATTACAAATATATTATAAATGTTTGGCACGCACTTATATACATACATCGAAATGCATAGCTTATACCTGTAAATTCTATCTTTATATGCCCGCTGTGTGCTGCAGTGCGGGTTTTTGGGCAGGAGAACTAATGCTATTGCTAACGAGCATTAGCTCAAATTAGCATCAGGGTGGTCGCCATTGCTCTGCTTTTTCTGTATCTCTCTGCCTGACTCCCTCTTCTCTCTCCTCTGGTGTTTTTTGGAAGTGCAGGTAGGCATTACAACCTGGATGTCCTTTTGTAGCGAGTTAAGGAGAAGCGAGTTTATCTTGGCCTGATCTCCGACCCTGGTTTAACAGTACAATCAACTGTAAACATGCTAGCTAGCTGCTAACCGAGCTGGGCTAACCGGGCGATTCGGGGCCGGGGCTGGGATCAGTGGGGGTTTTCGAGGGATTTAGGCGGCTTTAGATGGTATTATAGTCCCTGATCATCGCAGCCTTTCTGCTGCATTGAAAACCGTATAGTCATTTGAATAAAATCTCAGATTTCTCTCAAAGATCCGCTTGACGAGAAACTGAACAGCTCGCTCTCCGTTGTTTGTATGTCTTATAAATCTGCTCTTAAAAAGGCTTTTTAGCCTTTTGTTTTAGGTTTGATTTTATAAAGGGGACGTTATTTGGATAAGGTGTCGGTGTGTCCCAAGTCCTGCTGGGGTTAAAACATGCTTTTAAATACAAAATATGCCTTCAGATGTTTCTGTACGTTCATTTAATGTTAAATGTTTTTAGTAGATGTGTAACAATGCATCATGGTATTGCGCTGAAAAACCGACCTAGATAATAATAGATACATACCACTCTGAGATAATCATAATAGATACATACCACTCTGAGATAATCATAATAGATACATACCACTCTGAGATAATCATGGCATATAAAGGATTTGCATTGTTTGTAGGGGTAGTAATAATAGTAGCAGTAATTGTAGTAGTAGGCGGTTATACTGGTTCTTTGTTCTGAAAGTTTTGTCAGTAGATCCCTTATCAAGCAAAGATATCACAGTGTATGTGCATTCCAATGCTTAGTACAATTAGCACCTTTAGTTTGATGCAAGAATGTTTCAGTAAAATAAATAAATGAATAGCAGGTTTGTTATGGAGAGAGCAGACATTAGCGAGAAATGTGTAATGACCAGCCAGTCTCTTTGGGTTAGCCTTCAGCCTGCTTGTCGCCCCTCTTCGAAATCAATAAAATTATAATGAATAATATATAATTTTTTTCCATAAGGCATAATCAGGTTTTCATAAATGTTATAATAAGTTACATTTTCATTAAAAATATTACTGCTACTATTATTACTACCCCTACAAACAATGCAAATCCTTTATATGCCATGATAATCTTGTATCTTTGTCACTTGTGTTATCAGAATATTTCATATTTTCAGTGTGTTTGCTCATATTTAATTGTGTTTTTGGGTCACAGGGTCTGAGCAGAAGCATTTCAAAGCTTTGAATAGGAGGTTGATGCATTCTCCCCACAAATGTTATTTTCTACTTTAGACAGCAATAACTTTTGTCAGTCATTGATGTTACACTTTCTACAACCCTAGCAGGTGATATTGTTTTAAAATGATTTTACAAATAGAATTAATTCCTAAATTAACATTTCTAAACATGCTCCCTTTCCTGCATGTGTCACTTATGTTAAGATAATCTTCTATTTTCACCAAAAGTGTCACTGGTGTCTTGCTCTATTACTGTACGTTCACACTAGGAAGCAACAAAGTGACAGGTGACTAGTGTTCTGTCGGTACTGGCGGTATCCACCATATGTTCAGAAGCTTATTGTTACGTAATACATCACGATAATGGCAAATAGCACTCCCGCTGTATTGTGGTTTTAATTCTGAAAAAGATTTGAGTATTTGAAGCTGCTCCTTCAGCCAGTGCAATGCGGTATTTTTTTTACTTTTTTCTTTCTTTGTGTTTTTTTTTTTTTTAATTAATTTATTTTTTTATTGGTTTTTCTCTCTTCTAACAAGCATACACACTCATCTCAATACATTTCAGGCTTACAGGATTTTATTAATAAAATTATTCCTTAGGTTTAAAACAAACAATTAAATGGTTAATGGGAGTTTTATTATCTGATAACCTGAGTGAACGCTGCTGATCTGTGAAAGATATAGCAGGAAAACAGCCATAATAAAGTAAATAAGTAAATAATGTTTTGGGGTTTAACTGAATTAAATGAATCTGCTATAAAACACACCTAGGGGCACTTATAGTTGTTCTAGTTAGATACAAAAATAAGTTATAAACAAATGCAACTTATCAAAAACATAAATAAAAATATTTTGTACATTTAAAATCAACTGAAACTATACCAAAAATGGTGAGAAATATTTTATTGTGTGTAATGACTGTGTTGATTGTGTGTAATGACTGTAATGCTTGTTCAATAGTAAAGTTATTATCTGGTTATATTTTACTCTTATACTGTAATGGAACTGCATTTTACAGGCTTCGCTCATTCTTAAAACCAATAATATCTGTTTTGTAACTGAACATAGTGTTAGATGTTTGTTATAGAAGCCCAGAAGGTGTGTGTGTCTGTGTGTGTATGTGTGTGTGTGTGTGTGTGTAAAATGTAGTTATTTATTTTTTGTAAAATAGGCTGTAGAGAGACTGTATTGTAGTACCGAGTGCATCATGGCCTGGCTTTAGCTACAGCGCACAGTGTTAGCAGTGATGTAGCTCTGTTTCTCAGTGTGTTGTTTTAAATGAAACAGCTCTATTTGACATTTTTGTTCATAGACGAGGCTGTCGTTTCGAGTAGCATGGACAGAGCGTCTCTGTACACTGCGACTATATAAATCGTAGTCTGTGACGATGGTCTGTTCGAACATACGGTGTGACCAGAGAACAGGCTTTCTAAAATTCCTCTGTATTTCTGGCTTTAAAGGATGTTTAGCTACAGCTCAACCAGCCAAACAAAATACTTAGAGAAGACTCAACATGTGCGCTCCTCATATGCGTTAGCCTCAGATGCTGTCAGAGACTTTTGTTGAAAGACACATGGTAGGAGCAAAAATATAGCTGAACAGAATCGCCTTCTGCGAGGAACAAAACCCACTCTTCTCCACTGCATCGCTACTCAATCCAAGGCAGCGTTAAATAATATAGCATAGCTAGCTAATGCATGTTATTAAAAATCAGGTACATTTTAACAATTTAACTGTTAAAGTACATTACACTCATTTACACTATCAACTACTAAGTAGATTGCTTAGGTTACTTGGTATCAGACTCTGTATCAGTGAGTGCTTAAAAAATATGTACTTGTACTTGGCCTGAAAAAAATGGTACTATGCTTATTGAAACTGCAGTACAAATAAAATTAAATTTAAACATGCTTTCAAAATGAAAAAAATTAACAATAACAGAACATACATAAAAGCTGCATTAAAAAGAGATGACTTCGCTTGAATGTTGTGATTAAATAGTTTGTAATGAGATTTCTCTGTTTCAGGGTTTGAGAGCATTCTGGAAGGAATTTATGGGCCAAGACTGCTGCAGGACCTCAGCATATTTGATGGTGAGATATTGTTAATCTTTATGATGTTTATACACTAAGGCCCAATCCCATTTCTTATTTTTACCCCTACCCCTGTTTTCGAGTGTCACCTTGCCCCTCAGAACTGAGTCACAACGGCTAGTGGTTGAAATCTTCCCCTACGAAATGAGACAACATTAAAATAAAAAAAACAAATTACTTCATTAACAGGCTACTAGTGGTGCTCTGTAGGTGACCCTGCCAGTCTGCAATGATAGCAGAGGAGCGGAAAAGTTCAGCAACCTCGCTGCTGGGCATAAGGTAAATTTAGGGCATCATATGCCTTCAAAGAGGGGAGATGTGAAAATGATTCATTATCCCCCTCATTCTTTGGTGATATAAAGCTGAAGTCAGTTTTTTTTCGCCAGCTTCTCTTTCGAATTTTCCTGTTCCATCTTAAATGGAGCAGCAGTAACATTCTGGTGCTTCAGGCGTCAGTACTTCTGGACTATTTAAGGTGGAATGGGAAATTTAGCTAGCTAGCTACCGAGACGTTAGCATAGTACTAGCGGTTTTTTAATGCTTGTTATGAAGGAAAGGACGATAATACATTGAAACAACATTAAACTAAAATCGCTTGCACAGCCATCTTGCCGGGCTTTTCTTTGTTTCTCATAACACTCTGTTTGGAGTGTGCCTCTGAAAAACCTTCGTTTAAAGGGCGATGTAGCCCTGGCACTTCGCCCTACCCTTCTATCTCAACAACAATCAGGACACCCTAACCCTAGACGTGAACGTGCGAAACGGAGGGCTAAGGGCTAAGTGGTAGGGGCAGGGGGTGAAATGGGATTGGGCCTAAATGAGAGATTTATTTCTGTATAATAACGTGTCTGTGTTCAGGAGTCACTGTCAGTATTTTCTAAACTTGTGGTTTTTTTTGTTCAGACTGCGAGCCTGAGGCTGTCTCTGATTGGTCTACTGATGCTTTCTGCCCCTTCTGTAACCTGCAGTTAGAGAAACTTACCGTAAGTCTGAATCATCTTCACAGCGGAAAATCCATCGAAACGAGTGTTCAGTTAAAACCTGCTCCACCTCTGAAAACACCAGATGCAGTACTGTGCAAAAGTCTTAGTGCCTCTGAGAAAATGGTCTGTAAGGCTGTTTATCAGGACAGTAAACATTTAATTTTTTTTTTTACAATAAATACAAACAAACAAATAAATGTTCACAAATAAATGATTGTTCTCTGTGTGTGTGTTAGTTTAACCATTTTTGCTGTCTACTTGAGGGCCCTTCTTGTGTTCTACAGTCTCTCCTCCTGTTACCGTTTCAGGTCTAAAGTGCTCTTTTAGTTGAGTTTGAGTTATTTCAGCTGTTCAGATTTCTGTAAATGTGTCTTGGGGGCAGGGCTGTGTGTGGGTCACTGTTTCAGGGTTTTTCCACAGTAACTACAAACAGCAGAAAGCCTGTACAGTAATACTGAATAAAACTGTTCTGAGGACAGTAAAGATCTGCAGAGTTTCTGTCTCAAACTGACACGTTAAAACTGTGAACAGAGCATTCCTGTTTCTCCAAACCTTCAGCACAATGACCCTCTTCTACAGCCTCACTACAGACACTGTCAGCACTGTTTTACAATCATTCACAGACATTGTTACTGTTTTACCATCTATACCACTGTTTCTCTATTGTTATTTTATAATTACTATCACTGTTACTATTACTATTTCTTATTGTTATTATTGTTGTTATTTTGGGTTTGGAAACTGAACTTGCGAGAGAAGCTTTGTTTTTGGTCTATCATTTCATGTCATGTCATTGGTCTATCATCATCTAACATAAATATTTCATTCAGCTTCAGAATTTACATTTATTAAAAATGCAAGCTGCTGTTATGTATTAACAGAATTAAAGGTGCTTTAATTAAGCTGCTCTGTCCATCTGATTATAGAAGAATATTTTTACACTGAGCATGTAAAGTGTTGAACTGTTTTTAACTGCATATGTAAGTTATTGCGAGTAAGCTGAATGTAAATTGATTGTAATGTGGCTGATTTTGTTTTTGAAACAGGAACACGTGCCCGTGTCGCCGCCCCCCGCCGAAACCCCCCCACCTCAGGGCCTGACCACCTCGGAAAAACTCCAGTGCCAAGCAGACCAATTTCTTCATGCAGTTTTTCATAAAAAAGGTATTTATTGAACACTGAGAATATATGTACCTTCTGAAACTATAATGATATTCAGGGATTTACAAGGTTTAGATTTCCATAAAGTGAAAGGACTTTGAGTTAACTAAGATTAGTAGTTATAATAATAATACTAGTAAAAACAGGAATAGTAATAATAACAATGTCATATCTGTAGTAGCTTTGGTTTGTGTTACTGCACACGGAGGGTTTACTGTAATTCCTAGAGATGCTCTGATTTCTGGGATGATAAGTGATGCTCTTGGTTGTGACCAATACTGAAATCCGTAATTGTAAATTTACTTTCTTAAAACAGGCTCACACTGTAATCCACAAATGAAGTGCAGTAATACAGATCAAAATTCTGATGTTGCAAATGAGGTTAGCTCTGTGATGTTTTGGTGTTGTCAAATAATAAAAATCCTTTTTTTGTTTTTGTTGTTGTTGTTGTTGTTATTATTATTATTATTATTATGATTATTATTATTATTATTATTATTGTTATTATTAAAAATAGATTTTTTTGTCTTTAAGAGAATTAAAAACCAAATGTGTTTTCTTTCCTCTGTACATCACCCAGAATTCCCAGAGAGTTGTGATCCTAGTATACCATTGGCAGCGCAGGAGTTGATGCGTAAGATGATTCGTCAGTTTGCGATTGAATACGCCTGTAAGATCCAGCCTGAGGGTCCAGAGGGTCCCAACGCCAGCCAGGTTGATCTCCCTAAACACAGCGAGCTCGACGGTCCCCTGGACCTGACCATCAGCCGCGTCACCCACTGCCCGGACATCGCTGTAAGCCGAGCCATGCACTGCCCACAGCAAGGTGAGCCAAACAGCAGCAAGGGACACTTCACTCTTTAATTTATATTAACACTTTAATGTGGTGTACGTGAGGATTAGAGGTGAGGGGGTTTATTCAAATATGTAGATATCTAAACTCATCATAATATTAGTTTATTTAATTAGATATTCTAATAAAGCATGTTTCAAAAAGTTACTTAAAAGTAGTTTTGTTAGTCTGAGTGAGTGTGTTGAGCGACACAAAGCTGATCATGCTAAGATAAATGGATACATCTAAACTGAGCAAAAAGATGTTAAATCACTATATCAGTGCAGAAATCATTAAATGGTCCCAAAACACAGAGACAAATTACTAAATTGGGCAAAAACACAAAGCACAAAATTGCCCCAATACTCTAAATTGGCCAAAAATGCAAAGAAAAATTGCTAAATTGGCTGAAAATGCAAAGACAAATTGCTAAATCGACCCAAAATGCAAAGACAAAGCATTAAATAAATATTACATAAAACCTAAAACTTAAAGTAATTGAACTACAACGCAAATTAAATTTTTAACATGAAATATTTCAAACTCTGATATAGAGTTCATCTTCCAATAAAATAATGTGTTGTGTGAAAGTTTTAAGATCAGTTGATTTAAAGTGAAATATTACTCTTAGTGTTGTATTTATATCCAATTGATATTTCGGCTCAGGTCAGTCATTCTGTAAATAGTTAATCCGTATTTGAGACTGGAGCAAAACATTCTTAACTAAAAACAAACACTAGAGTACATCTTTGAAATTCTGCATGGTTGCCAGATTTGAAAATAATCATTCTCTTTAACTTTTTCATGTAAATTGATATGATCTGCCCAGTTATAGTGAACTGCTGTGGAGTTAACTGTTGGTGCTGATCTGTAATAAAACAGTAGTGTAACCTAAAACAGTGTATTTGTATTTTATTTCTATTTAGTTAAAACCTGCATTTTTTTAAACCTTACTAAATATTTTTGTACATGTTTCAGCAGATGGTGTTCTTGACCTTTCAAAGAAAAACACATCTGTAAAAGTGCTGAATTCTCAGAATGTTTCGCGGTGAGTATTTTTACTCCTCAATTTTAGTTTTTGGTTTGACTTTTTAGTGTGTATTTCCTGTTTGTGATAGAGTAGCATCATAAATGTAAAACATCAGTAGTTTTCTCTGTTTATCAGGATTTTTTTTCTCCATTTATATCATAGATAAAGGTTGTGAACATCTTGCACATTAACAGTAATAGTTTAGTGGTTGTTCTGTTGCACTGCCAAAGGGGTTGACTCTTTTCTAACTTGTTGGAAGGTAACGTCACATTTTGTCAGCAGTCAGGGCTTCACTTGTTCCTCTGTGCAGCCTGTATTTATTTATTTGTTTTATTTACATTTATTTATGCGTTATTATTATTATTATTATTATTAATATTATTATTATTATTATTATTATTATTATTATTATTATTTTCACTCAAAAACTAAGCTGCATTGCAAAGATACTGGAAGCTTTACTGTAGAAGTGTGTCTTTCTCCACACGTTTGACTGAGAGCTCTCCTTCCACGAAGTATCGTTTGCAACCTAAGGCCAAAATCAAACCAAAATGTTTACCCCCATATTCAGAGGCTTTGTGTTAAACAGACAAAGAGAGAAGCGAGTGATGTTACCCAAAGACAAGGCAGTAAAGGAGTGGACCCTGAGTGCTTCCTGTCGTTCGTCCGTTCACCCGTTCGTTTCTCATCCTCCCATCCACCTCCCCTTAGGAGACCAAACCGAGAGGACTATTTGGATCGCAGTTCAGAGTTTGCAGAAGGTTTGCTCTCTAAAGCCTTGAAAGACATTCGCTCTGGTTCACTGGATGTTCATAAAGCTGCCATTCTGTACGGGATACCTCAGAAAACCTTACGGCTGCAGGCTGAGGCCTTACTGCCAGAGAAAAAGCCGCGGCTGCCTGTTGGAGATAATGGCGGGGGTCCAGAGGCAGGCTGGCCTGCGACTGAAACACAGCTGCTGCTGCAGAAGGTGGCAGCCTGGGCCCGCTCTCAGACAGACCACCCAGAGGGCGCCAGAGTGGCGTTTTCTCCTGTGGAGAATGCAGAGTTTCCCACGGCGATGGCATCATCATACCTCCACCGTCTGACGCTGCAGAGGATGGTGTCTCAGCTCCGGGAGCGCAGCGACGGCGTCCTGTCTCACCCTGGCACACCCACACCCCCGCAGAGCCCTGCCACTGGGGCTGGCGTTGCCATCCGGATCCCTCAGGTACGCGCCGGCGTCCAGCCAAAAACGCCACTGGACCTGGCGGGTCTGGTGGACGCTGTGTTTCAGGCCAACAAGGGCTCAGATGGTCCGGTCGCGCTGCACAAGCTAAAGACCATTCTACCCAAACAGGGTGTCTTGGAGTGCCCCTCCGCGCCGGAGTCGCGGCTGCTGCTACAGGGGGACTTGCCCCCCCTCTGCATGAAGAACGGTGCCGTGGGGGGCAGCGCTACAGGAAGCAGCGATGCCTGCGGCGACGATGGAGAGCGGCGAGACAAACAGCCACGGAAAAAACGCGGACGCTACCGCCAGTACGACCACGACATACTGGAGGAGGCCATCGCCATGGTGATGGGTGGGAAGATGAGCGTGTCGAAAGCTCAGGGCGTGTATGGGGTTCCGCACAGCACGCTGGAGTACAAGGTGAAGGAACGCATGGGCACGCTGAAAACGCCGCCCAAAAAAAAGCTCCGCCTCTCCGAAGCCAAAACCTCAGGCTCCATTAATTCAGGGACGACGACAACTAATGCCTCAACAACCGCCTTCAAACGGTTCTAAACACAACACAACCTCAGCTCCTGCCTGCACACGGCTCTAACAGAATGCCTCACATTCAGCTACGGGATGTTTGAACACAGTCAGGACCTTCACTCCTTCTGACTTGAAAGAAAAACTTGAATTCTCAAAAATCCTTACAGGTTCTGGTACATTTCAGAGAAATCACAACACATGCCTTTAAAAAGAATCTATTCAGGGGTTTCACTGTGGATATCTATATAATTATATACATACAATTATATATAATATATATATTTAAAGACGATATACTGTAAAGCACTGATTTTTAAGTTAAGTTCAGTTTTAAACTAAAGAATTTATTCAGGTTTGATTTCTGCCTAAGGTAATCAGCTCTTAATGATTAACAGCTTTCATGCTTTGACTGGTCCATCAGTCTTAGTCACTGAGAGATTTTCTTTTTGTTTTTTTGGTCCCCAGAGTTAGTCTGTACAGTGTTTTCTGTGCTGTTTAGGCTGATAAAATGGGGAATGTATTGCTTCAGCGCTTTATTCAGCATTTTATTCCTCCATTTAATGATGGAGTAAGGTTTGTATTCTTACCTGCAGGTACAAACTTTCATTTCCGCTGAAGAATCACAATGTTAACGTATATCTGCTAAATCCTTTCGATATCATTAGAAACTTGATGAATCGGATCGAGTGGGTTTATTACTGAAACATTCTTTTCTTAATGAAGAACCGAAATTCCCACTCAGACCAGCTCAATTTTATTCTTTTAGTAACACAAATGCAAGTGTGTAACGTTTGTCAGCTTAAAAAAATGCTTTGCCTCTTTTCAGTGAACTTGTTTTGGGGTAAGTTGGAATGCAACATAATGCATGTCAAAAAATCTGCACAGGAAAAAAAGCTTGATAGTTCTAGTGAATGTGTCGTTTAATATTAATATTAGATTTTCTTTCAGCAGTCAACTGCTGTAAAACCTCATTTTAAGCTATTTTTCTCTGCTGCTTCAAGTGCTCTGTGTTTTATTGTCATTTTCAGTATATCACTAAAGATCTGGGGCAGGTTGTACCAGCTGTACGTGAGTTCAAATGTAGGCTAGTTATGATGCAAGTTTGTTTACTAAGTTCAGGTTTACGCATTACTAATTCAAGAAAGGTTTTGCTACACAAACTACTTTTTACGTTGAGCTTAATATCTACTAAATATTTACACACTGGTCTTGGTCAACGTCCAGACAAACTTGTGCAGCTTGACATATTTGAAATCTGAACACTTAACGGATGTTTTGCCCTGCAGACCTGCTTTAGTTCCTGAAACAGACAAGTTTCTTACACTTTTCTGACTTGTGAATGTGTTTCAGAGCTCAAAGAGATTAAAATCAGTAATTATACAACAGAGAGTTTGTTTTAAAAACAATGCTGAGAAATTCTAAATATGTGCAGAATTTTCTGTTTTATAACAGTACTAAGACAATGGTGGCTGTGAGATGATGATTTCACTCCTCTTTACATTGTGTGAAATTTGTTAATGTCCAGATGATTTATTGCTCTAGAATATCACAAGACAGATGAAACAAGATACAAAACTCATGAGCTCAGTTTAGTCAGAAAACAGTGTGGTTTGGTGAATATTGTAAGTTATTGTCACCAAATGTACCATTTCCATATTACGGTCAGTATGAACGTTAAGCGAACTAAAGTGTCTGCTTCCTGCTTCTATCCAGCCCAGGAGAACTAAACTACAAACGTAAACGCAAACCTAAAAGCTGCACATTCGTGTGTTAAGAGGAAATCTAAACTACTGAGTTATATTGTTTCAGTTTTGTTCAGTTCAGTTGTGAAAATGTAAATTGTTCTTTTCTATACTGGATTTTTTTTTGGTATGGAATGCAAAAAGTCAGTGCAGGCTGCTGCATGTATTTCCATGAAATCATGTTTATTGATTTTAACATTCATGTTCAATTGAAAAGCGACAGTGTTCAGCATTTGTATGCATTAGTTAGGTGTTGCTAGTTTAGGCATGACTTGTGTGGTGCAACTGAATTTAGTAAAAGGGCAGTGTAAAACTAGTGTAACAGATTTCGTAAAGACTTGATGCACAAACTAAAGGAAAAACTTACGCAGAACTGGTGCAACCCTGTCCAGATGTGTTTTATCTGTCTGCTGTAACCAAAATATCACTTCAGGGTCATTTTACAACCTAATTACACTCCAGATGAAGCTGCTTTAGTAATGTCCATGTTCGTCTATATAAGGGCGAGTGCTGCGTTCACACAGTGGCTCTGAGGTTTTAGATCTGCTCTGATTTATCAGCAGAGCTGCTCCGTGAATACGGCCTTTAGTCTGTGGTCTTTCTGCCTCATTTGGCTTTTTGTATTGTTCTCTTCCCCACAGCTTCACCTTCCTTTAGTGTCACCTTCCCATAGCACGATACTAATAGATCGACATGTCACTGGCTGTGATCTGTGTACTGCTAATGAAACCCAAATTCCTTTGTTCCCCCTTTATTTCATAGCATGGACCCGTTTTAATAAGTTAAACTATAAATGAAGGATAAGAGTAGGTTGCAATTTATAAGATGCACATTCTCCTGTGTGTTTGTATTGTCTAATCATTATTAATAATTACAGTGTGTAAGTTAATAATTAACATGGCCATATTTGGAGATTTTATTGTGCGCATTTAATGCAAGCACAGGGACTTGCAGCTCCTTATAAAGTGCAGCCCTAGAATTAAATGTGAATTTTTGTGATTGATGCTTTGGAAAATATAAGAATTTCTACATGCAATGTTAATGTAGTAGTCTTTGTGTTGTGAAAATTCTGTATGTGGTATAACTGTTAATGTTATCTAAGGAAAAAAAATTGTGGAGAGATTCTTAAATTTAAGTCAAAAGCATTTTGCCCTATAAACCACTGAATGTTCCTTACAACTTGTTAACTTTGCATAGTGCCTGTTTTTGCAACACATTTCAGAGTAGGGTTTTTTGTTATTTTTTTGGAAGTTAGCAACAGTTTTATATCTAAAAATATTATTAGGAGTTTATATTGCTGTTAATTTTTCTGGTGATGTATGCATTACTTTTACAGGCACTTTTTTTTTCCCGACTCAAGGGCAGTCCCACCAGTGTTTGAGTGAAGTTTTCTTACCTTTAGTGTACTTTTTACAGTCAAATAATTCTCAGGTCTCCCCGTCTGTCGCATTGATGGATTAAAGTAAAGCTCAAAGTGATTCAGTGCTGAAGGTTTATAGAAATGTACCGATTCGGTCACGCCCTTAAAAATTAAGGTACTACAAAAGTTTCTTTGGGGTAATACCATAGAATAACCACTTTTGCTTCAATAAAGAATCTTTCTGTGGCTGAATCTGTAAAGATTACGTGTGTGAAGAACCTTTTTTTTAAAAGGTTTTTATAGAATCTTGACAAAATGTAATTGATAATTTCAGAGGTGCCTAGATAGGTTAAATTATGTGGAGGTTTACTTTAAAAAGGTTGTTCACACTCACACTTCTCCTTTATAAAAATGTTTCCTTTTGCCTGTTTTTGTTGGGAGTTAGGACTGAGTAAAAATGTGGACCCTTTGGTGGGGGTCTCTCAGGGGAACCACTACTTTAAAGAACCGCTCATTGAAAGATGTTATTAGGGAAGCAAAGTGGTTCTTCTATGGCATTGCTCCAGAGAACCGTCTTTAGCACCTTTACTTTTAAGGGTGCAGGTGAAGGCAGATTCATCTTCACTAAAATGTGATTTTTCCAAACACACTGTTTTCAACACATGAATTAGTTCTGTACAGTTCATGTAATGTAATGTAAGTTTTTCAGCAAATGATAATTTGCAGGTGAAATCAGGTACAGGAAACCAAATCTAATGGATTGAGTTTGGTGTCTTAATGTAGCCATAGAGTATCCTCAGGGTAAGATTACGAATATAGTTAAAGGTGTAACTGCCCTTTTAACTGCAGTAAGTCCAAGGATGAGTTGTAAGGGTTCTGACAGACAGTCTCATTTTTACAGATCCCTTTTCTGTAAGTTGTACCGTTCTGTGAAAACTTTTAGGTGGTCGATAAAGTAAATCGGCTGAATTGTCGAGTCCTCTGAGTTTTCTTATTCAGAATAAAACTTATTGAAATTCTTTTCGGCCAAACTTTTAAAAAGCGTTAGGATCTCAAAGCTTTTCGCTGTGGGAACAGTTTGCAGCAGTAAGTTTGTCATTTCTTAAGCTGAAGTAAGATAAATTAATTGCAATCATTTATTTATGCATACATCTGTTGCACTATGATTGAATCATTGAGTTTTTTCTCTGAAAATTTTACGTAAATGTTTTGTGTTGTATTGTGTATTTATTTCTTTGTGATGAGAATCAGACTTTAGTGTGTTAAGTTTGTATCAAAGCACTTTGTTGCTCTCAGATTTAAATGTGAAACGTGTTTTACTGTAATTGCATGCATATATTAATGTCTCTTTGAATAAGGTTATTTTTCCCCTTGTGATTATCCTGATTGCTTTATTTATTTATTTTTGTTTGCTTACTAACAAGAGAAAGGGCTTTTCATGGAGAGAGGCCATTAAAACACTCCATAATTTTACTCTTTGAGATCTTTGATGTAGAAATTGAACACTTATTTTGGATCAAATCATTGATTCTAACTGTGTAATGTTCTTGTTTTTTTTAATGTTTCATTTCAAAGACTAATGAAAGTCATTTAAGATTATAAAGATGAATTAATGAATTGGGCTCTTAATGTTGGTTTATGAACCTCTGCTATTTTGACACTCAAAATGTAACTTTTTACATGTTAACTTTACCTAAACCTCCTTAAACAAATTAATGTCCTCATGCAATCTTTGTTTTTTGTTTAACTCTGACAGTGTATTGCCTGCAGAAATGGGTTTGCTCGTGGTTATTCTAAAGCGACATTTAGAGAGGCAGATGGTTTGGCTGCTTTTATGGATGCTTTGTACAAATGAAGTTTCCTTGAGTGTGAGCGTTGCTACAATCGTCATCCTCTGCCTTCTACAAGTTGTCAATAAAAAAGCTATCATTAAAAAATGTGTTTTTTTTTTCTATGTAATAAGTATCATAACATGATAAGAGTTTGAAAGGGATAATATAATTTGCCATAAAATCTGTTGATATGCACGTCATATGCACTGCTGGTCCTTTGACTCTTGTCACTGATCTTCATCAGTAAAATGAATAACGTTTTGTCCCCATTTATTTGTGTAGTTCTTTGGTGACTGTGGATGAGGACCAGTGCAGAATGGAAGAGGAAAAGGAAGAACCAGAGGAGTGGAGAGGAACAGTGTTGGAGAAGGTCTTGTCTTCACTCTGCTCTTATCACAGAACGCTTCTGATCCGCATCCTGCAGGACATGCGGGAGCACTATAGCATTGTATTAGCTCTGAGAGATGCTCACAGGCGGATGGCTAAAACTGAGCTTTACTGCTGTCCTGCTGAAGGGAAATCTCCCAGTGATCCTTTAACCTGCTCGCTAGGTAACTGCGCAGCAGCTGGTTGTGCTAGCTGTTTAACTGCATGTGGACTTAGAACATGTGCACTTACCTCCATTTGTATCTGTATGAAGACCCTCGGTGGTCTCACTTGCCAAAACCTTGCACCTGGATGTGTCGGCAAAGTCATTTGTCCGAGCTCTACTGTTTGCTGTGCTCATCATAAAATACTACTGTGCCAGCACAACAGTGAAAGTGTGTGCATTGCACATGCAAGCAATGTGTTGAGTGTCCATATCAAACGTCCCAGCACTCTAAATTCTTGTCTAACTTGCCGTAGCCCCTCCCCACCCCCACTCTCGCCAAAGCCGGTGGATGTGGAATGTAAAACGGGTGACCAAACGGTCAGCTGTAAAGGTGAGGAGTTTGCAGCACTAAGCAAACCTCCACCTCTTCTACCTCACCAAACTGAGGCTGAAGATGAAGATAAAGCTCTACAATCGGGAGAATCTGCCACTCCTCTAGTTAAAGATGATTCTGAAGATGACAAACATCACTGTGGATCCTTTTTAGGTGATCTAATGGACAAATTTACTGAAAAACTAAAGAACATCCAACCAGCTGAGAGAGAGCAAACTCCGCAGACCGCTCATGCGGGTCAAAACTCAAAAGCATGTGACGATACACACTTGACAGAGATTATAACCACAGTGTTGCACAGCAGCTGTGACAAAGAATATGACCTGAAGGAGCTCTTTGAGCAGCGCATGGCTACGGAACAGAGGTCCCCTCAGACGCGCTCTCGTCGGAGACAGGAAGTGTTGGCTGCCATGAGCAAATCCCCTGACATTTCAGCATCCCGCAGACAGAGCTTACAGATCAAACGAGACCTTGCACGGCTCGACCCTTCTGCCTGTAGAAAGAAGGTGGGGCTGGACAAAAGCAAGTGTCCAAAGAATGCCCAGGCCCATAATGAGCCTTCAGAAGAGTCCACTTCTCCAGAAAGTCTATCTGAGATGGAGCCCGTAAACGAATTCTCGGACACTCAAAACAGTGAACGGTGCAGGTTAACTTCAGAAACGCAAAACCTTCAGCAGGAAAACCAACCTGCTGTCTTGCCGGAAATTCCACACTGCAATGAAACGGACCTTTCTCAAATGGATATTTCTCACACAAAGGCAATAGCAAAGTCCCACCAGGACAAAAGTCAAATGTTTCATCCAATTGGCAAAATTGAAAGGTCCAGGAGAAATATTGTTCGTCCTCAGCGTTTCTCTTCCTATGTAACAGAGCCCCGGAAGATGTACTATGCTGCCTGTTTTTCTGAGAGCATATTCATCAAACATTCTCCCAGCATTAATTCTACAACTAAACATGAATCTGCGAAGATTAGCATGTCTACTGAAACTGACACTGAACATTCAATCAAAACTGAAACACAAGATCATATGATGCATCCATCAAGCCACACATCAATTGACTCACCTAAGAAAAGAAGATGTGAAGATGAGAGTGGTGAAAACGGCCAGTCTAGAACAAAATGTCAGGAAGATTACACAACACCAACAAAACGGTTGAAATCCTGTGGAGGCAAGAGTGTAGTGGAATCTCAGAGTCCTGGGTTAATTCAGGGTCAGTCTACTGATACAGAAAGCCTAGAGGACACTAAGGAGTGTAGTTTAAAGTATGTTAGTCCCATAAAGCTCATGCTGGTGTCTCCTGTGAAGGGTGAAAATGGGATCAAATACACACTCAAAGCTGCAGACTCTGGAACAAACTCTCATGGAGAAATGTTTGATCCTTGTGTTGAAGCTTCGTGGGCAGGCAGTGCCATAAATGAGCAAGCCCTGGATAAAGATTTGCAAACAGATTCAGTGCAGGATGTTGAGTTTGGTGGGACTGACATCAAACTACCAGAAGAAAGTGTATGCACCGCTAAGACTGGTTTATTCAGTCATGGAATTGGGACTGGTGAGGCTTTACCAACTGTGCATGAAACGACTCCTGTTAAGAGACGTCCTGGAAGGCCCAAAAAGTTAGGACCACAGATTGAAAAAGCAGTGAAACGTCCCATTGGCAGACCCCCTAAAGCCAAGGCTGGAGACCCAAATAGCATGAATAGTAAAAATGTAAATCACACAGCAAGTGAAAAGTCAAGTGAAGATGATGTCAACAAAAGTCTGAAAATAACTATCATGTATGGGAGGTCAAGAAAAGCCAGGAGAGTGGTATCTGAGGACATGGGGCATCTTTCCACCAACCAGCCTGCTTATGATGTCCTTAATAGTGTTGCAAGTATTGAGACAAGTATCAGTGGAGATTCTATACTTAATGCAGCCAAAAATCAGTTAGAAGATCTAAATTTTGTAATGCCTGTGGAAGACAAGAAAGGCTGTGTCCATTCAAGCAGTAACATAAAATGCCAAAAGCAAAGTGATCAGACAGTAACAAGAAAACCAGGAAGGCCACCTAAGGTCAAGATCTCTGGAATTTCTGTCACTGTTACCACAGTATCACCAAGGCAACGCAAAATTCACATGAAAAGAGACATGAAGGACTCACCTCTACAGCGAAGGGCGCTTTCAATGGAATTTGAACCTTCCAAAGAGAAGATGACAATCGGTGAACATACTGATGGTGCCTTCAGAGATGGAGTGGGTACCATGGAAGAAAGCACAGAGAGTCCCAGGGACATCATTCGTGCCTGTTAGACATTCTGTAAGGGAGCGCAAACCCTCTATTCATCTGCTGCACTCAGTTGCTACAGCTAGATCCTTTAGTCGTAGCAATGCACTGATTTGTAGGTCACACAAGCTGCTTATGAGCAAGACTAACCACCAGACACATCAGCGCAGGCCCGAGGTGGCTGCCAATAATGCACTTTCCAAAAAGAAGGTCAGTCATATGAAAAATGTTGTTCGTTTTTCTGGGGTTTCTGTAGACTCTATCTTTGCATCAAATGACAGCCTCAAGTGGTGGCCCATCAGTGCATCACATGAGACCATAAGTGAAGAGTTGGCCAGAAGGATCAGAATGATGTCTGACACATGGGTTTCGGATGTCTCTGAGGTAAAAAAGTCAGAAGTGATTAAAACAAAACAGAATCCAATTCCATGTGAAAAGGTCACCAGTTCTGATAAGAGGTCCTCTGTGGTAAAAATACTGTTTGAGAGAAACTACAGTATGGAAAAGGTTTGCTCCTGGTTTATGCAGACCACAGAGACTCAGTCCTTGGCAATTGTGAAGAAAGCCAATGCAAGAAATCCCTTTGAGATCTCTCATTACAATTCCATAAGATCCACTTGCAGAGAGGATGTTTGCCCTAGCTCACAAGCAGATCGACTCAGGAAGCATGTCAAGAAATTTGCAAAAGTTCTCCCAAAGAGTCCAAGAATGCATCAGCAGGCACAAGCGACAATGTATAAACCAAGGAGGTTTTTTGCCAAACAGTACCTTTTTAGCCCATCAAAAGTTACATTGATGCACACTGATGGGCAGAAAACATCCAGGTCTGGTGGATCATGGGGGGTCTACAGAACAGCTTTGCTCAGAGCAAGGTCCAAGTTCAAAACCATGGCAAGGAAAAGTTCATTGAATGAGGCACAACTTAAAAACCACCTGGGAATTAGTTGTGAGACAACAGATTTATCAAAAGAAATGCCTACCTCAGAAAAGAAAGTGCAGAATGCATCAGGTATCGCAGAAAGCAAACTGTGTAAGGTTGAAGCTTTCGAGAAGACAGTGGGCATCACTGGCATCTCCAAGGAGGAGACAATTAGCTCTAAAGCGTGGAGTCCAGAGACACTGAAGGAGTGCCGGGTGTTTCTAAAAAAGATAAACTCTCCAAGCACAAAATCAGTGACTGGAGAATGTAACATTTGCACAGTGAAATTCAATATATCACCTGCGGGGTGTGATGTATCTATGGAACAAAAGAGCAGTGAAACCACTAAGTTGGGGAAGACATTTAGTTCTCCGAGGAAATCCGTCTTGTTTCGGATGAACCAGAAAAAGTCAGAAAAAAAGCGCAGAAGTTCCCGCACAAGCGAGTTGCCTCCCGCAAAAATGACACGACAATCAAGGAGCAGCAGGGGTGTTCTGGGAGCAAGGTGGTGCGATTTTGTACTTGGTAAGTGTGTGTGTGTGTGTGTGTGTGCGTGTTTTAAAGATATTAATTCATATAAATAAATATTAACTGGATTCTTAAACATGCTTTCAGTTTTTAAAGTGGGATGGCCTTGCATTGGACCAGGGGTTCACAACTACGGTCCTGGAGGGCCAGTGTCCAGCACAGTTTGGTGATTTACTGATTTAAACACACCTGATTACGTTTGTCTGTTAACTGGCAGGTTTACTAACTCTGCAGAATTGCAAAGCGAACTGATTTTATGCAACAGTAACAGCAGAACATGCTAGTCTAGGTGACCACTCTAAAATGCGTGGTTTTCTTAGTTACTTGAGTGAACAGGAGCCTGAGAGGACGGAGACAATTTTTATAAAAAGTTTCAAATTAAAAAAACTTGCAAACAAAATGTTAAGAATGAACCTCTAAAAATCCATAGCAAGTAAATTACAAAAAATAAATAAAATGATACTTTAAGAAAAAATTAAGATATATCCCTCTACTACTAATTTAATATTTAGGCAGTTTTTGGTTCTATTCTTGGTGTGGTTTGGCTGCTGCAGTTCTTTTGCTATTGAGATTTGACATGTTTTAACAAGTTGGTGGGTCTTAGATGTTCTTTACTTTAATCATCTGAGTTGATTGAGTGACCGGTATTTTGGTCCTTTTATTTGTATCTTTTTTACATTTTGATGCTGAATGTTTTGCTTGTAAACTTATTTCAAATTTCAAAAATGGCACAAACTCCGTAAATTTAATCTGTAAACCTAACATTTACCTAGAACATAACCTAGAACGTCATACAAATAAAAGCTGCTTGAGTAAGCGACCATATGTAGATAATTTACTGTATTTATCAGTCAGGGATTATTTCTACTGGTTCGCACGATTAATTAGAGAAGTGGTCGTACTCTGCTTCTCTTAACGTACTGTGAGGTTTGTGTTTTGAGTTTTTCCTGAGGTTTTGTTATCAGTGTACAGAACACATGAAAATTTTTTTTATGAGGCCATCCCACTTTAATGCTGTTTCTTTTGCCGCTTTACTGTTTAACAATGAAAATGTAAATAGATCCTGCAATATCTCTACCTTACAGGACCATCCAAATAACTGAGGATCTTTGGGTTTCTTAGCAGGAGTGTACGTAGAACCCAAACATACGGTGCCTTTAAGAACGGACTGGCTGAAAAATCAAGAGCATTAAGACACGCACGCAACCTCAGCAAGCAACATGTAGCAAAAGACTTTAATTATAAGAACTTGCACTATCTAATCTTATATGTTAATTTTATATCTATAAACATGCCCCTTTTTACTGTTTGAAACATCCCTGATTTTATTATTGCAGAGAACCAAGAAACTCTTACAAGATGTTTAAGGAGTGTCAGAAAGTGTGCAAAGTGTTTCTGTTTGATTTTTTAAAAGTCTCTAATACTGGAGTATTGTATCAGCATTGAGTGATATACTGTAACTACAACTCAAACTTTGGACTATTACTGAGAAAAAGGATTTTTCCAATCCTTTTTCTAAATTCTACATTTTTACATATACATTTTTTTCAGCATGCAAGTGCTCTACATACGTCAGAAATACCAGTTTATCTCCCAATTCTCAAATTACTAACATATGAACCTTTTGGGCTAATTTAGTTTGGTGATTGGGTTCCTAACATTTTGGCCTATTGCAGTTTTCCAGTGTTCAGTAAAACATCAAATCCTCAATTACAGTAAAATCCAAAAGAAAAACTGCTAGAAGTGACCTTTCATTTGATTTGATGTAGAAATGGTACCTACTGTCCTGTCCTCTAGTGCCAGTTCTGAGGAACTCTGTTAGTCATAAAGATTATGTGAATTTTTTTCTGAAGCATTAATTCAACTTTATATTGTGTTGCACTACAAAACTGTTACTTTTTTATGTACATACATAACAGACTGCCACTGTTGTACAAATTATTCCTTTGGTGCAATGTTTTACCTTCTTAAGCAGAGATGTTAAGGACTTGGCTATTTTATTAAAAGCTTTTAGGTAATTTACAAACCAGCTTTTCTTTTTCTTTTTTTTTTCTTTTCAAATACAAAAGATTCATGTGTAAATGCAAGCTATTGTGTTTGTTTATTGCAGTGTGATTCTTATCTCTCGAAATCCAGTTTAAACTATCAAATCCAAACTCTAACAAAACTACTTCATGCCCAGTATAAACTGTATCAAATCTAGTATAAACTGTTTCCGGTGCAGTCCAAACTATCAAATCCAATCTAAACCTTTTAAAGTCCAGTGTTAATTGTACCAAATCCGGTATAAACAGTTTCAAATCAGGTCTAAACTGTTTTGATTCAGTCAAAGCTATCTTATTTAGTCTAAACTACTGCAGATTCAGTCAAAACTATTAAATCCAGTCTAAACCGTTTCAGATTGTCCATCTCCAACACAACCACCCTGCTCCACCCCCCCAACGGCTGGTTTCCAATCATTTGGATCCACAAACAGATTTTACACAAACACTCTCCTGTTTAAGCTAGTTACATCAACAGTTTACCGTTTTATATGGCCTCAACCTGCTTCCAAATCAAGCTCTAAACGTGGCAGTGGCTTTGGCACGTCTGGGAGAAAGTCTGACAACCAAAAGCCTTAAAAAGTAAAGACACCATAAAGCTGGTCAGCTGTTTAAATTGGAGTTCGTTTGGGGAAACTGCCTTTACTGTCTGTGAAATGTCTCAGTAGGAAAGTTATAAGTAGTCAGTTATAGAATTATTTTGGGCTGTTGGATAGAAATGGAACTGAGAGGTTCTCTGAATGTGATCTGGTGCTATATCTTTGGGGTGTGTATATATACACACTCATTTGCCTTTATGTAATAGTGTCATGTCACTAAAACAATAAAAATGTTTGAACCAGTGCTGTGCTGTTTACTGCTGTTAGCCTGCTAGCTAAGCTGGCTCTAGCACAACTAGCTCTGCTCAGCTGTCCAAGTTAACACTGTTTAACACTCAGCAGCTGTTTGACGGAAGGTAATTTATTGAGTGATGAACTTTTTTCTGGTTAAAAACAGCTGAAGCTGAACTGTTGTTTTGAGTGGACAGAAGAATCAAACTCTGCTTAACAGATGAAGAAACAAACGGCACAAAGCATGAATTATTTGTCATTCCAATTTTTAAAAAAAGATATTTATTTCCACTCTCTTAAAAGATTGTGTTGGTGAACTGTGACTAATTTTATCAAACTAACACCACTGTATTTCATCCATACTTTTTAAAATCAAATTTCACCTTTATTCTTATTTTTCTCCTATCAAGCTGCATTTCTACTCACACCTGAACTATTAAGTCTATAGAAGCTTTTAAAAAGTATTTTCTTTACATTTCTACACACACAAAAAAAACTAAGTTTTCTGTTATTTTGGCTTCTGCTGATGGAAATACATTTTTTAAAGTAAAAATATTCCATAATGAAAATACACAATACACAGTAAAAGCTCTTGTTTGAAGTTTATGAAACAATTCAGTGTAAAACAGGCATCCAATTTTTCATAATGCTGAAACTCTGGTTATTTGGGATAAAGACTTATTTCTGAGCTCATTTATGAAGTGGCACCCTTTCTTTTACCTTATGTCAACTTTGTCAGAGATTCAGTTATTTTGAGAAGTGATGATTTCTGAAGCTTTGAATCAGTTGAACTAATCGATTTTAAAAGTGATTCATTGTTTGGAAACACTCAAATCATGCACGCTGGCAGCAGTTTCTGGTTAGTGTATACACATTCCGAAACATGAAGGATTTCTACTTGGGCTATAAATGTCAAAAATCAGTTAAAACATGAGAAACTCGACTAGCTTAAGTTGTTAGCATTAAGCTAATGGTGATTTACAGGAACACATTCTGACAAGGCTGAAATGAATTACCTATTCAGATTTTCCATTCTATCTTAAAAGATGCCACAGTTACATTCTACTACAGGGGTACAGAACTCTGGTCCTGGAGGTTCAGCACAGTTCATTTTCCTGCTCAAACACACCTGATTCACTGATTACTCATTCATTGATTCATTGATTTTTTTTTTATGGCAGGTGTTTGAGTAGGGGAACCACTAAACTGTGCTGGAACACACTGGAAGTGCACCCCTGTTCTAGCATCTTGATGCACCAGAATAAAACTGCTGCACCCTTTAAGGTAGAATGTAAAATTTGAATAAGAAACCTAGGGCAGCTCAAGCTCAGATATTTGAAGCTCCTTATAGATGCTTATGACACACACATAAGCATATAGTTTACCTTGTAGAAGTTTCACAGTGACTCAGCAGTGAGCTCTGGTCTAGGTTGAGGTGTAAAGAGGGATGCATGTAGGCCGGTTTTGAGACCCAGAGCAGCCAACTATTTGTACTGACTGCGTTGTTTTTAAACTACATAAAATAATTTGATGCAATGACATTTTTACCAACCGTTATATCTCCCGCTCGGCATATCTTCTGGTGTTAAACTTCGCAGTGGGACACAATTAGTTAACAGTCTGAGGCTACAAACGGTCGTGGATCTTATGGCTCTAGTTAAATCCATAAAATAACATGTCTGAGTTCATATTACACCAGATTTAGTAAGCATAGAAAGAGGTATATGGAGTTAATTTTGTGCCAAAAGCTTTAAATTAAATAATAAAATTCACAAGCAAAATATTAAGTATCAAAATGCCCAAATATGTTGCTAATACGAATAATGACTTTTCAAAAAAATACTACTCATTTTTATTCATTCTATAAATGTATGTTTTACTCTTTTAATAAATGTATTATTCATTTTGTCTGTCTTTGCTTAATTTTTTTTTCTATTTGCTGATATCTCTTTTTTTCTGTAAGCGCTCTTTTGCTTCTGAAATTTTTCTTTTGCTTTTGGTACTTTTAACAGGGGGCGGGTCTTAGAAGAGGGTGTACACCTGCACTCTCTATTGGTCATCTGATTTGGAGTGACAGGTCTTCTGAACACGTAGCCACTCAGCATGAATCGCCCCCAGAATAGCACAACATGCTGTGTTGAGTGCTTTATCATATTCCTTTTAAATTATTAATGTTAGACGTTTATGGGTACTGTGTTGACCTGGATAAAAACGATATAATATGGACATTCAAGAGCAATTTATGAATGAACGGAGCTGCACCAGTTCGCAGATGCTAGCGCTAACTAGCTCTTCACCGTGTTTAAGTCAGTGCTGCATTATTTCCCTCGACCGCACAGCACCGCAGATTCAGCAAATTCCTGACCTAACACACCTGATTGAGTACATGAAGGGCTCTAGAATCAGTTGATGAGCTGTATCAGGTGTTTAAGGTAAGGAATAGCTGAAACTGTGCGGAGCTCAGTGTGTGTGTGTGTGTGTGTGTGTGTGTGTGTGTGTTTATTTGTAACTTGGGCAGTGGAAGATGATGTCAGCCAAGAACATGAAGACGCAAGAGTATACACATAAACACATAAGAACGCATACTGAAAAACGGCCATAGAGTCTCTTTACTGGGGAAACTGATGTCCTTAAATATAAACGCCCAAACAAATAGAAACGTCACATCTAATGAAAGAATTTATAAACAACCATATTGTTTTTTTGCATTTGGGAACATAAATTGGAATAAAGTATGGACAATTTGAGATAAATGTTGTATGAATAATAAAATAAAGGTAGTGACTTTTACACAGTATGTCCCGTTAAAAGTGTTTTAGAGAGATTTAGAATTATTAATGAATATTCCTGTACCTTTTGTGGTTTAGAAAAGGAGATAAGTATCCATCTGTTTTACCAGTGTACAAAAATCTTTCGGATTGATGTGGAAAATTTTGTAAGAAGAAAGACTGGACACTGTATTACATGGGATGTTTCAGATGTTATTAGTTATTTCTCCATGGACAGATTAGATGTTAAAGTATTTCTTTTTGTACAATACTTAATTATTATGGGTAAATATTATTCACATAAGAAGGGAAGGTCTGACTAGAAGCCAAACTTTATACATTTCCTCGATTAGGTTAAGGAATGTGGCACTATTTTAAAATATATGAAAAACAAGGAAGCAAAAAAGACTTTATATATTATAGTCTATATTGATTACGATTTATTTAATGTGTAAGTGCATCCTTGGCTGTTGGTTGTTGTATGTTATGTTGTTGTATACTTCCTGCTATAAAAAAAGAAATGGCCATCGACCGAGTTTCACGCTCCAGCTCAGTAGGTGGCGATAAGGCACCTATCTCGCGCTTCTGAGACACCGAATAAAAGGAAGAAGAAGAACAACTGCAACAAGAAGAACACCGCGTAGTTTAATGTGATTTTTATACAGATGCAGCAGCGGGACTCCAGTTGTAGGTGTGTATTTACTGCTAATTTAACTACACTGAAGACTTCATGTACCTCAGCTTAGCGTGGTTTGATTTAATGCGTGATTACAGACCTGACAGTGTTGTGACACAACTACTTCAAACAGCACTAAGATTTGAAACGTCAGAGTGGAACAAGAAATCTGTCTTATCGAAATACAAAACCGTACAGACACGTAACTGCAGCAGTGTTCCTCCGTAGGTCTGCAAGTGTACGTTATTCCCTTCCGATTTAGCTGGCCAGAGAACGTAGCTAACCCTCTGGGAGATCTAAGAGCAGAAGTTTTCACTGGCGCAGGTGTCTTTGTGGCCAGGCAGTTGTGGGTGAAACATAAGAGCATAAGCAAATGAAACTGTTAGTCACGTGCGAGCGTTTTAAGAATTAAAGACTACGCGCTTAAAAAGGATGGTTCTTTAGTAAAGGCAATTGTCCTAAAATCATGAGTTCTGTATAGAACGATTTCATGCTTAAATGGGTTTTATGGGTTTTTGCATGGTGAAATGGTTATTCAGATTAATGGAGAATGTGTTGTAAATGGTTCTAGCACCAAAAAGGATTCCTCTGTTATGATGTCAAGCTTGTAAAAATAGAAGAACCCTTTTTGATGCTAGAACCATTTTCAAAGTGGTTCTATATAGAATCATATGCAACACATTTTCCATCAATCTGAAGGACCATTTCGCCATGCAAAGAACTATTTAAACATGAAATGTAGAACCACTGCCTTTACTAAAGAATCATCTTTTTTATGAGTGTTTGTGCATGAATACTTTTATCAACCATTTGCATATTTCCTGTGTTTCTTTATTCTAACACTACACTAAGAAATGCATTACAGCTTTATGGGTTCAGACAAGTGCAGTTAAATGAATAGCGTGTTTCTCCCTGTTGTTTTCCCTCTTCATTGTAACCCATTGATTAAATACTGTCCACCACCCCCACCTATCATTGAACAAAAATGCTCGACTTGCTCGGAGACTCTCTGTTGCAACATATGAGCATCAAAAACACAACATATACTGGTTTTGGTGGTGATCAGCGTAACAGCTTCCACTGTTGATGACCAACATCTAAAACACAACATATGCTGGTCGTGCTGGTCTATGCTAGTTTTACTAGAAGGATCATGTCATCAGCTTATACAACTCTCAAAAAATTGGGATGCTGTGCAAAATGTAGCAGAATAAACCCTATACTTCATAGAAACTAGTACAAACACAACATATCAAATGTTGAAACAAAAAAAAAATGTTTTTTGAAATATATATGTCCATTTTGAATTTTATGCCAGCAACATGTTTCAGAAAAAGTTGAGACAGTGGCAACAAAAGACTAATTAGGTCGAAATGCTAAAAAAAACACCTGATGGTACAGCTCTCAACTAATTAGGTTAATTGACAACAGGTCAGTAACCTGACTGGGTATAAAAAGAGCATTCCAGAGAGGCAGAGAAGTAAAGATGGGGAGGGGTTCACCACTCTGTGAAAGACACAGGCAAATAGTACAACAATTCAAGAATAACATTTCTCAACGTAAAATAGCAAAGAACCTGGGGATTTCATCATCTACAGTATATGATATCATTAAAATATTCAGAGAATGCAGAGGGCTGCAAAGGACAAGGGACATTAGTGCACGTGCGATGTGTGACTTGTGCAACTATAAAGGCACCATTAATACTGAACGATATACAGGTTTTGGAGCAACATAAGCTGCAATCCAGATGACATCTTTTTCAGGCCTTGTTTATTTCAGCAAGACAATGCTAAACAACATTCTGCATGTATTACAACAGCATTCTTTCGTAGTAAGAGAGTCCAGGTGCTAAACTGGCCTGCCTGCAGTCCTGACCTGTCACCCATTGAAAACATTTAGTGTGTGTGAATGAAGAATGGGAAAAATTTTACTTTCAAAACAACAGCATTTGGTTTCCTCAGTTCCCAAATGCTTACAGAGTGTTGTTAAAAGAAGATGCAACACAGTGGTGAACATGCCCCTGTCCCAACTCTTTTACAATGTCTTGCTGACATCAAACACTAAATGGGCATATATTTTTCAAAAGTAATACAATTTCTCAGTTTCAACATTTTATATGTTGTCTTTTTACTATTGTAAATTAAATATACGGTTTAAATGATTTGCACATCATTTCATTATGTATTGATTTATATTTTGCACAGCATCCCAACATTTTTAAAAACAGTGTTGTAATCAAATTAGTACTAGGTTATGATGGTAAAAATAATATTAATAATATCATTATTTTAATCTATTTAAAAACAACTGTCAGGCTGTTGTACTCTAGAATGCCATGTCAGAGTTTAGGAGATATATAAAAATCATCTTCCACTAACTGAGCTGTGAGGGAGCATAGAAGTTTGACCTGCCTCAGCTGAACAAAGTGGTCTAGACAGTTTTAAGCACGTCAGTATATGCCGGACGCAGTCTTTGCATCCGTCCATCAGACTGCCAGCTAGTGCAGTGTGTTTGCTCTGTCAGTTTGTGTGGTCTACCACTTCCTGGCTGAGCTGTTGTTGCTCCTAGGCCCTTTAATTTCACAGTAATATCACTTACAGTTGAACAGGGCAGAAATTTCATGAACTGGCTTGTGGGATCCTATGATAGTGCCACGTTTAAAGTCACTGAGCTCCTTAGTATGACCCATTCTTCTGCCAGTGTTTGTCTACGAAGTTTGCATGGCTCTGTGCTTGGTTTTATATACCTGTTAGCAGTGGATGTGGCTGAGACACCTGAACCCAGTAATTAGGAGGGGTGTCTACATGTTTTTGGCCATAAAGTATATGTTGTTTCACTGCCTTATGGTGCACTCTATTTCGTGTTTCAGTGCACAGTACACTACAAACAAAAATTTAACAAAAGCGGGACGTCAGGTATACTGAGATAAAGGAGCTTAATGCTGCGTTGAGTGAATAAAATGCAAAAAATGTAACTATGATGAATAATTACTGCAAGGGTGCTCCTCATTAAACATTTGTTAGGTTGGCCTAAAGTTGCTGTTTAGGACATTCATAATTTAGACTGGCTAGTAGGCTGCACTCTTAAAACCAAAGGTGCCAAAAAGGGTTGTTTGTGCACTGCCCTAGAAGAAACATTTTAGTGCAGAAGTGTCAAAATCAACCACTAAAGGGTCCATATTAAAAAATGTTAACAAATCCATTGGCCGGAGAAAAAAAGGTTTTATTTTAGTTTTGATTACTGTTGTTCTGTAACCTGAACTGACCATAGTTCATTCAAAATATGCAAAACTTAAGCAGTAAAATATCGGCACTTGTGGTAGACCTTGAAATATTACATAAAAACTTGAAATATTCTAAATTTTAATTTCCCCTGGAGCTAGCAAGGTTATTGATACTTGGGCTCAGTTTCTGAGCTGCTGAGCTAACATTAGGCGTTTATATTGTTTGAATTGCAGCTGAAATGCAGCTAGTGTGTTGGTGATACGACAGTTGTGGATTTGCATAGAATTGTGTAGAATTGTGTAGAATTGAGGTGTAACTGCTGTCCCATAGACTGTTGTTGGAAGAAGAGTCAGAGTGCACAGTATGTTGCAGTGCATGCTGGGGACGTAGTGCAGCGCATTGTGAAACGGGCTAATATTAAAAGAAAATTAAAATGCTTCTGCGGGTCATATAGGATTGTGCCTTGTGTTTAACACATGAACTTCTTACATTGGTATAGGACTTGCATTATGTTTAAAACTTTAAAATGTTCTACACATCTACATTTACATTTTAGACACTGATTTTACCCTATGTGTGTTTTATGTCATGCAATGTTATTTATCCTTGTGTCTTATTTTTTTTCCAGGACTCAGAGGACCAATATGTTTACGTTATGAGTGACTGATGGGCCAAGATGCGACCGCTGCTTCACCCAAGTCATGGAGAAATTAAGAAACTCAACAGGTTGCACAGGGACTGTGTTCCCACTACAGTATTCAGGGACTATGCAGAACAGCACTATCTCCAGCAGGGAGCACAGAGCTGTGGGGTTTGTGCTTGTGCATGCAGGTTTGTGTTTGAATAGAGGCACACATTTTTAAATTAGCTCTAATTAAATCTGTATTTTGAATTGTCCAGTCAGGGGAGATCATCTTTAGTGAAGCCTTTTGTACACTCTTCTCTCATTTCAACTTCCTGTATTATCTGTGCTTTCTAAATTTTCACAGAAATGTTAAATGGGATTGTGGGGTTGCAATAGATGATCAACAGACAGTGCCCTCCATTATGTTTGTTTCTGCTTGTTTTGGGGTTTAGTCCCTGTAATTGTTTTTTTTTTTCTCAGCTTATGAAAAGAAAGCTCAGTGGGATTAGGAAATGGTGACTGACTTGGCGAGTCAAGCATTTTCTAGTTTTTAGCTTTGGAAAAACTCCTTTGTTGCTGGGCAGTATGTTTGGGATCATTGTCTTGCTATAGGATTAGGCACTATCCAAAGAGTTTGGAGGCATTTTCAGGAACTTCAGCTGATAAGATGTTTCTATACATCTCAGAATCCCTTTCCAGGCCCAAGCCATAATGCCTACCAACCACTATGTTTTACAGATGAGGTGGTATGCTTTGGATCTTGGTCATTTCCATTTCGCCTCCACACTTTGTTTTCACCATTGCTCTGATACAAGTAAATCTTGGTCTCATCTGTCCACAAGACCTTTTTCCAGACCCCTGCAGGCTTTTTAAAATGCTTTTTAGAAAACTAGATTGGCTGTCCTGTTTCTGTTGCTAACTGGTTGTTTGCATCCTGCAGTGCAGCCTCTGTATTTCTGTTTGTGAAGTCTTCTGGGTACAGTAGTCATTGACAAATCCACACCTGCCTCCTGAAGTGTTTTTTGGTTTGTCAGACAGGTGTATGGGGATTTTTCTGCATTATGGTGAGAATTCTCATTGAAATGTTAGCTGTGGAGGTCTTCCTTGGCCTACTAGTACCTTTTGTAGTTCACCAGTTAAGCTCACCAGTTCTCTCTTTCTTCGTAATAATGTTCCGATCAGTTGATTTTGGTAAGCCTCAAGTGACCGGTGTTTCTCAGCTTTATAATCTTTCCTTTGACTTTCTTTAACATCACTCTGATCCTCATGTGTACAAACAGTAAGCAGACGGCACAGGTTACCAAAAGCCTACAGTCAAGCTCAGACAGTCAAGCTACAGTCAAGCAAAAAGCTCTTATACCTTCAGTAATGGGGGGCTATGTATAATAAAGTGTGTATATGTACACAACCAAAAAAGTTGGGACACTGTGTAAAATGTAAATAAAAGTAAATAAAAACAGAATCCAATGATTTGCCAATCTCATAGATGCATATTTCATTCACAGTAGAACATATAACACATATCAGATGTTGAAAGTAAGACATTTTACCGTTTCATGAAAAATATTAACTCATTTAGAACTTAATGGCAGCAACGCATCTGAAAAAAGTTGGTACAGGGCCATGTCTACCATTGTGTAGCATCCCCTCCTACTTTAACAACAGTCTCTAAACATCTGGGAAGTGAGGAGACCAATTGCTGTAGTTTTGGGAGAGAAATGTTGTCTTGCTAAAATATCCAAGGCCATCCCTGAAAGAGACATTGTCTGGATGGGAGCATATGTTGTTCTAAAGCCTCTGTACACTGTTCAGCATTGATAGTGCCTTTCCAGATGTGTAAGCTGCCCACGCCATAGACAGTAATGCAGGATGCAGGCTTTTGAACTGTGCGCTGATAACAAGCTGGATGGTGCCTCTCCTCCTGAGTGCACAGGACACGGCGTCCGTGGTTTCCAAAAAGAATTTCAAATTTTGATTCAACTGACCACAGAACAGTTTTTTATTTAGCCTCAGTCCGTTTTAAATGAGCTTTGGCCCAGAGAAGACAGCAGCGTTTCTGGATTGTGTTGACATATGGCTTTTTCTTTGCATGATACAGCTTTAACTTGTGTTTGTGCATTGCACAGCGAACTGTGTTCACAGACAGTGATTTCTGGAAGTGTTCCTGAGCCCGTGCAGTGATTTCCAGTACAGAACAATGCCTGTTTTCAATGCAGTGCCCCCAGAGAGCCCGAAGCTCACGAGCATCCAGTATTGACTGTCGGCCTTGTCCCTTGTGTACAGGGAATAAAATATGGGTCGGTGAGATTTGCAAATCATTGCATTCTGTTTTTATTTACAATTATTTACATTTTACACGGCGTCCTAACTTTTTTTTGGAATCGAGAACACACCTGATCTAACTAATCAGGTAACTAACATCTTTTTACTGGTCAGAAATGGGCAGTGGACCCGTGTCGTTTATTTTTCTATTTACTTAATTAAAACAGAGCTAGCTGTAGAGCAAACACTCCCCCAACCCCAAATATTTTCTCTCTAGCTTAGTTGTGGCTCACTAGTTAGGTCTAGCCATTCTCATGCATCTACAATCCCGGAAGTATCAAAACTACAAAGTGCTTCCTTTTTGAACTACCACTATCAGAACAAAACAGTGCACTTGGAGGAGAAACTTAATTCTGTTGACTGTTAAGACTGTAGTGATTTACTGAATAGTTTACTTTCATGCTCATAATAAGATCAAATAAGGCCATTTGCTGCTATTATGTGGTTTTGCCTCATTGCATATGCATTTATTGGGGTTTGACTCTCAAAGTGCAAATAACTGGGAGGAGATTATTATAATGAACCACTATAAGACAGTAATTATAATGAACCCCTATAATACTTTATCAAGATTTTGCCTAAATAATGATTTTACGATTTTTTTCCCCAAACGACTGTTAAAAGCACAATTTCTGCATTGCGAAAGCTACTTATTACTTTGCTGCTTTATGCATGCTGTAGTCCTTGTACCATGTACATCACAGCCGTTGACGCACTGCATGTAGCTAAGACGTTATGCTCACTACAAGTTAAAAATCATACAATATGGTCAGTGAAATTATCAGGTATTTTTTCTAATATTACACGGTTTCTAAGAAACATGTGGCACAGAGCTCAAGATGAGCTCCTCCCTGTAGCTGAAAATGAATGTTTCATAAGTCTAAATAGTAGCTAAATCATTTTTTGTCTCTTGTTTCTTATATTGCGCTGGCTGTGTTAATTAAGTGTTGTGTTTGTGTTCATTTGCCTGGAAGTTTTTAGTAGTGATGCACTGAAATGAGAACGGTTGATCATCCAAGGCAAATTAATTATATATATATTTTTTAAGTTATACTGTGCTTTGTGGGACTGTTGTTGGATTTTTTTTTCAGCATTTCAAAAACTGAGGCTACAGCATGCTACTGAGGACTTTGTCATATGTCATATCTCCAAAATGGTAACTTTACAGGACAAGGAAAAAACATTAACTCATAATGAAAGTTACTGTAAGAAGGTTTTTTCCCCCAGGTAATTTTGGACCATTTCTATTGGTCTATTCATCATAAACTTTTAACACAAGACAAAGGGTGATTAAAAGTTTCAAATTGGAGATACAAGTTTTTGTAGTCCATCAGCATACTATATTAGCCTCCTTTTACCCTGTTATTCAAAGGTCAGGACCCCCACAGGACCACCACAGAGCATTTTTTTTTTAGGTGGTGGATCATTCTTTAATTGCAGTGACACTGACGTGGTGGTGGCATGTTAGTGTGTGTTGCGCTGTTACAATTGTTTCAGACACAGTAGTGCTTCTGGAGTTTTTAAACACTGTGTCCTTTCACTGTCCACTGTGTTACACTTTCCTACCTTGTTGGTCCACCTTGTAGATCTAAGTCAGTGGCAGTAGCTCATCTGTTGCTGCACAGTTTGTGTCAGTCATCCTCTAGTCCTTAATCAGTGGTCACAGGTCTCTGCCCACAGGATGCTGTTGGCTGTTGGTTGGTGGACTATTTTTAGTCCAGCAGTGAGACTGAGGTGTTTAAAACTCCAGCAGCACTGCTGTGTCTGATCCACTCGTACCAGCACAACACACGCTAACACGCCACACATGCTTATGTACTTCATTACATATGCTGCTGACAGAGGTCACTGGTCTGTTCCATGTTTTAGTCATGAATTGCACACTTCTAGATGGTAAAAATAGCATTAATGATTTTTTTCCCCCCTTTTATCTAGGAGCAGGGTATCATTCGGAATCCAAAGCCAAGGAGTATAAACATGTGTGCAAGAGAGCTTGTCAGAAAGTGAGTACATTTGAATTTCTTTTCACTGCTTGCATTCTGGTGTCGGTGTGTGTGTGTATGTATGTATGTCTATATATGTATGTGTGTGTGTGTGTGTATATATATATATATATATATATATATATATATACACACACACACACAGTATCTCAGAAAAGTGAGTAGACCCCTCACATTTCTGCAAATATTTTATTATATCTTTTCATGGGACAACACTATAGAAATGAAACTTGGATATAACTTAAAGTAGTCAGTGTACAGCTTGTATAGCAGTATAAATAAATATAATAAATAATTCAGCACACAGCCATTAATGTCTAAATAGCTGGCAACACAAGTGAGAACACCTCACAGTGAACATGTCCAAATTGTGCCCAATTGTGCCCAATTGTGTCGTTGCCCCTCCCTGGTGTCATGTGACTCATTAGAGTTTTCCAGGACAGGTTCCACTCGGAACAGGCCTTGCCATGGTTGACCAAAGAAGTTGAGTCCACGTGTTCAGCGTCATATCCAGAGGTTGGCTTCAAAAAATAGACGCATGAGTGCCGCCAGCATTGCTGCAGAGGTTGAAGAAGTGGGAGGTCAGCCTGTCAGTGCTCAGACTGTATGCCACACAATGCATCAACTCGTTCTGCATGGCCGTCGTCCCAGAAGGAAGCCTCTTCTGAAGCTGATGCACAAGAAAGCCCACAAAAAGTTTGCTGAAGACAAACAGTCCAAGAACATGGATTACTGGAAGCATGTCCTGTTGTCTGACGAGACCAAGATAAACTTGTTTGGCTCAGATGGTGTCCAGCATGTGTGGCGGCGCCTTGGTGAGGTGTACCAAGACAGCTGTCTCTTGCCTACAGTCAAGCATGGTGGTGGTAGCATCGTGGTCTGGGGAGCTGCATTGAGGGAAACATGAATTCCAACATGTACTGTGACATTCTGAAGCAGAGCATGATCCCCTTCCTTCGGGAACTGCACCGCATGGCAGTTTTCCAACATGATAACAACCCCAAACACACCTCCAAGATGACAACTGAGCACCTGTGGGGCATCCTCAAGTGGAAGGTGGAGGAGCGCAAGGTGTCTAACATTGGAGGAGTGGAAGAGGATTCCAGTAGCAACCTGTGCAGCTCTGGTGAATTCCATGCCCAAGAGGGTTAAGGCAGTGCAAGATAATAATGGTGGTCACACAAAATATTGACACTTTGAGCACAATTTGGATGTGTCACTGTGAGGTGTACTCACTTGTGTTGCCAGCTATTTAGACATTAATGGCTGTGTGTTGAGTTATTTTCAGAGGACAGTAAATCTATACTGCTATACAAGCTGTACACTGACTACTTATTTTCTATAGTGTTGTCCCATGAAAAGATATAATAAAATATTTGCAGAAATGTGAGGGGTGTACTCACTTTTGTGAGATACTGGATACATACATATATATATACCCATTTCCAAAAAAGTTGGGACGCTGTGGAAAAATGTGTTTCATTGAAAATAGTACAAAGACAAGGCATTACACAGAAATACAAAGAATTACAAAGAATTACTTAGCTTTATCAGCCTTTTGTTGCCCCTGTCCCAACTTTTTTGGAACGTGTTGTTGGCATCAAATTCAAAATGGGCATATATTTTTCAAAAAACACTAAAATTTCTCAGTTTCAACATTTGATATGTTGTCTTTGTAGTATTTTTCTTTAAAATTATGGTTTACATGATTTTCATATCATTGCATTCTGTTTTCATTTACATTCTGCCCAACTTTTTTGGAAATGGGGTTGTGTGTATGTGTGTGTGTGTGTGTATATATATGTATGTATGTATGTATGTATGTATGTATGTATGTGTATGTATGTGTATGTGAAGAAATAAAGAAAAGAACCACATGTGCTTGATTTTATACACGTTAGCCATCATTAGAAGCTGTATCCACAATATAGAAATGCTCAAACAGTAAATAGAAGAGTTATTGGATTTCTTGACTAGTCAGTGCAGTACCTATGCCAAATCTAATCTTTATTTCTGTATGCTACCCTGAACCTGACTAATGTAGAGCATTTAATTGTTAACTAAAAACCTTAAATAAAAGACCTAAATAGCCTACTGTAAAATCTTACTAAGTAATTTGCATTTTAAATATAGGACAATTGTGTCTTCTCAGACATCTTTAAAAGTGTGTATTTTGATATACTGGTTTATAAATGTTGTTTGTAGCAGCTACAAAAATGCAACTGATTTCAAACTATAATGGAGTGACTAATTGCTAATGCTTGTTGCCCTCGCCTCAAGGCACATTCTGTCATTTTGTCGCAATTTGCACTTCATAATGCACCACACATTTTCCATGGGAGACTGGTCAGGACTGCAGGCAGGCCAGTCTAGAACATGCAAGCGTTCTGATTATGCTGCCATGCTGTAACACATGCAGAATGTAGCTTGGTGCGGTCATGCTGAAATAAGCATGGACATGTCTAATAAAGTCATCTTAAAACATGACCTGTTCTGTTGAAACTAATAACACCAAAAAATAATGTAGTGCTCTTGTCAACACTAAATATATCATTCAGACATTCACGGTGTAGGTTGGAAAAAGTTATGTAAACCTCTAGACTAATGACTTCAACAAAATCTAAGTGTATTTCAGGGAGTAAGTCTGGAGTAAGTCTGGAGTAATGAGTCTCCCGTTCAAAAAAACATTGAACTGGCATAGTGTCCATGTGCCTCCGCCACTGGTTCCCAACCCAAAAGGTTGAGGCATGCCTTTGTTGACTTATAAAACTAAGATTGAATTGTTTATATTGTTTGGGAAGAACAGATAGCACTATGTATAGTGTTAAAAAAGGCACTGCGTACCAACCTGAAAACATCCCAGTGATGGAGGGAGCATCATGATTTGGGGCTGCTTTTGGGCCTGGACTGATAAATTCCCAAAAAAAGATGAATTCCCTTGATTATCAAAGTATCCTAGAGGATCATGTCAGGGTGACTGTCTGCCAGCTGAAGCTCAGTAGAAGCTGGCTGATGACTTTGTATTGACCCTAAACATTGAAGTAAATCTACTATGAAATTTCTTCTTCCAAAAAAAAAAATCTAAAGAATAAAAAAAAATAAAAAATTCTAAAAGATTTACATGCAGTATGCATGGTTTAAAGTTCTCCATTTTTAGTTAGTCATGAAAAATCATTGTGCTGTTAATGGAATAATCTTTGACTTTAATGGTACTTGCATGAACCACTGAGTGTACTGATGAAGTATGAACTGATTTTTGTTTAAAATGACAGGCTGACAACTTATTTTCCTAAATAGAACAAATAAATAGTAAACTAAATAGAACTTCTTAACAGAACAGGCTAAAAGATAGCAAACATGATAAACTACCCCATCATTAATATCACAGGCGTGAATTAAAGTGCTTACAATATGACTCACTGTAAAATGGCACTATATAAGACAAAACAATGTCACTGGAATGGCTTACACATTTCAAATATCTGTGTTTCAGTTAGATCTGACGTTTGTAGCATCAAACCCAGCTGAATAAAAAATGGCTGCATACTCTCTTTTATAGTGAGCTAGGGCAGTTTTTAAATTCCCTCTACAACAAAATAGTGCACTATTTGTCAAGTATAAATGTGGCTGAATCCCAAGTGGCTATTTATTAGCTATATTATGCACTTTGGGATGTAGGAGCCAGTATTAAATCTTATGTAGTGCACTATGTAGGGAGGGGGAAGCCATTTGAGATTCAGCCTCACTATTTAGCCACTATTTGTTAGAACAACGGCCTCTTGTAGCTTATTGCAGATTTTTTGAGAAACTGAAAGCAAATCCCCCAATATAGAAAGGAAGCTGTAATAAAGATAAGGTGGAAAGTAACATGTATGGTGCATTCAGACTTGGCGGGTTTGGTTAGATTAAAACAAACCCTGTTGCGGGGATTTCACCGTGTTTGTGTTGTGCAAAACCCCAGTAAGACTGGGAGTCATATTGGCTTATTGCTCTAATATCACAAGACAGATAAAGCAGAGAATGGAATAATGCAGAAAGTTCAGTGGATATTATCACAGTTATTGTATGTTATAAAGTAGGTCATAGTGATGCATTGTCTTTACTTGACACTTGAAACTGAAGAGATTACAGATGGGACAAGTGTTCTTTTGTGTGCTGGTATTGTCTCCATTGCCTCTGACATATTTACAAATGTTGTCTGAACGCACTGAGCACCTGAACAGTGGCATTGTTGGAGCACTATTTTCCTTTAAAGGGCTTTCAAAACTGAATCCTTTTGCTTTATCCCTAGCTAATATACTCTAGTAACAACAGTAGTCTAGCAATTTGTTGCAGTTTGAAGCTAAAGATTTACCTGAAAATAATGCACACTGAACAAAAGCTAACCAAACATTTCATATAGAAGTATCTGTCTTTTATAGTACAGAGAAGAAGAAATTATGTGCAAAATAGTTTGGTTCTAGTTGAACTAAACCACCTACTCATGATTCCTAAAAAGAATCAATGGACGATATTGACATCCAACCACAATTATAAACAGTTCATACTTGACTTGTTTTGGGTCTCTGACCTTCGACTTTTCCATGAAATATGTTTCCCCTTTGTTTTACGCTGCCTCTTGTTTTGCAGGCTGTGGACAGGCTGAGAGCTGGAGCCATGGCCCTGGAAGCAGTGACTGCAGCTCTTACAGAGCTAGAGGTAAAGCCTCTCTGAATTTTAACTTAGCAAATTTGGATTACAAAATACCTTTAGTGATCAGTCAAAAGTAAGCAGAATGTGTTTTAATAGATGTTAAGTAGTTTTTGTTTGGATCTTACCACAGATGAGAAATGTTACTATTGTTTTCTTTTCACTTGACAGTGAATCCATTTTTGGTCCCTGTTTTCTGTTCATTGTCACAATTATCACACAGTACCATTTAGCTTCATAAATGAAAATGATATAGGAGAAAATACTTTGAAATTTGTAATCGTTGACTAAAGGTACAGTGAGTCCAATTTTCTATTATAGTGCAATTAAATACTAAAGAAAATGAATATATTCTAATGGGCAGAGGTGTGGAGTGTACTAACAGGAAATAAAGTGTAACAGTCCTAACTCACACAAAATAATGAACTTTGTTGCTTGCAGTACAAAACAAAGTTTTTAGTTCAGAAATTGAAGAACGAAATTTGAAATAAAATGAATAAATATGCATAGAACAAAATATTTGGGCTAAATTTTGATTCAGACAATTTGTTTGCCAGTATATCTTGGTATTGGTCATTTTGGCTATGGAGGAGCTATGATGGTTTTCAGATAGCAAACGTGTGCTTGGGATTGATATATAGGTCAGGAGACAAGTGAAAGTTAAATTTATTCCTTATCGGACCTTGAAACATTAAACATTTACAAATCATGACCTTGATACTTCGTCGCACATAACGGCTCTGCAAGAGTTGAAAGATAATTCAGCTAGAAAGATGAAATTTAGTGTGTTTTGGACAACTATACAGACATCCTTAGTGTTGTTTGTTGTTTGCAGGATTCACCGTTCACCAACGCTGGTACAGGCTCCAACCTTAACCTGTCTGGGGATATTGAGTGTGATGCGAGCATAATGGATGGGAAGTCATTAGATTATGGAGCAGTTGGAGCTTTAAGTGGTGGGTTCGTTAATGCCACTTTTAGTATATACTCTGTTTGGACATGGAAGTGCATGACTAGACATATGTAGCACAGACTAATCTATATGAGAAACAGAAGAAAGTAAACCTGTTTTCTGCTGCCTTAAAAAGTGGAAAGTTGACATTAGAATACATCATCAAATTTTCATCAAGCATTTAGGGTGTGTTGTTTTATATATTTTCCCACTTTATCCGTTTGATATTTAAACACATGATTTTAGTACAGTTATTATATAGTCTATTATACCTCCTCAGTGCTTGCAGTCATTGCAGATTAACTAAATTCATAAATGATAATTCATTATTTCAAAGTTATAATGTTGCTTTTTTACTTCCCCACTGTATAGATATGCGTTCCTGATTTTAGGCAATGTATGACAAAATTGTGCTAAAAAGTTTGTGTGTATTTTGTATCTGTCTGGATTTCTGCATGAACAACTCTAAAATGTGGTCTTACCTTCACCTAAGTCAAAATAAAAAAATAAAGACAGTGTTTTTAAACCAATAACATGCAGAACGGTTTACTGTGATCGTATGGTTTAAGTCTGTAATCTACAAGTTTATTATTCAGGTATTAACCTTAGAATTTGCAGACCATTAGCACTCATCTGAGGGTCCTTTTTACTGTTTTGTAGGATTCTGCACTGTTCCGTAGTGGGTCTTTGTAGAACACCCTTTCCTAGAGAGAGCAGCAATAGTGCTAAATTTCTTTACTTTGTAAACATGCATGACAATGAACTGATGGAGGATTGTCTTAACTGTTTCCAGTTTTGTGAGCTTCAACAGCTTTTCTTCTGGTGACCAAGAAAATGTCAATTTATGACGTTCAATTTAAATAGAATCATGTTGTGAAAAACAGATTACTTGGTAACTTTAAGTGTGTGTTTATTCCTTATGGCAGGACAGGCCAAAATCACGCCTGAATAGAACACCTGACTCCAATTTGTCTCTTTTCAAGAAGTCATGATCACAGAGGTTCTCACTGCTTCCATCAGTGTTTTCTTGATTGACAACCATTTGCTCACTAAACCTTTGTGATGTCTTTTAAATAAGTACAAACCCAGTTCCAAAAAAGTTGGGACAGTATGTGAAATGCCAATAAAACAAAAAGCAGTGGTTAGTAAATTCTGTTTGACCTGTATTCAATTGAAAAACACAGTACTCGATATTTTACCTTATGAAATTCATTGTTTTCTGTAAATATATGCCAATTCCAAATTTGATGCCTACAACATGTTCCAAAAAAGTTGTGACAGAAACAGTTGGAGACTGAAACAACTGATCCAGTTTTGAAAGCAGACTTTTTTGACATTCTTCATTTATACAAGTCTTCAGCTGTGCCACAGTACAGGGCTTTTTGCTCTTCATAATGTGTCAATGTTTTCAACAGTAGACAGACTGGCCAGTCTAACGCTAACCACCAATTCTGTTACATTAGCTAACAGACACCTGCGCTGCGCTCAGTGATGGGGGAGAGGGAGGACCATCCTACCCACTCAGCAAGGCCAACTGTGCTCTCTTGGACTCTTGGCCACGGATGGCTGTAGCATCACGAGGCAGGCCTTGCTTTTTACACACAGACATTTCTCTGCATTTCTTCAGTCTTTTGCTAGTATGCACCATAGAGGTAGAAATACCTGAAATCCTTGCATACACTCGCAGCAGAATGTTGTTCTTAAACAGTTGGACTATTTGCTGATTTTATTTGCATTTCACATATGGTCACAACTTTTTTGGAATTGGATTTGTACATGTTCACCCTTGGCAAGTTTGGTTCAATTAAAACAAAGCCTTCTGAGATAGCTCTGTTGATGCAGTTCATTAGGGAATGAGAAGACTGTCATGTGAACTTTTGTGTGGACCGAGACCCCTTGATCCCTTCCAAACAAACTGTGGTGTGGTTCAGGTGAAGTATGAATGAAAAGTGTATCAGGGGCGTCCATATGGGCCAAACACAGAAGGAACTACTGTCTCTTCTCCACATACCTTTGGTACAGATGAATTTCTGACACTGTTTGGACACATGCGGGTGCTCTGAATTATTAATTATTAAAACAGGCTAAGACATGTTCAAAGCTACTGTAAAATACTTGATATATAGAAATATGATCACACACATCAATTATACAATTTTTTGCAGCTTTAAAAAACAGCAGGCCACTCGGTTTTATGTTACAGTGGTTTTACTCACTCTTGTGCTGTAGGAACACTAAGGTAACACACAGCCTCTTGTGGTATTACCACCAAATGGATGTCATAAAATGTTAATCTTTTTTTTGTTTTTTTTACATTTTACCCATACAATTTTTCTTGTATGTAAAAGTTTTATTTACATATTTTGCTTACAAATAGAAACAGATCCTAGGACTGTCTTTACTTATTATTATGACTTAAGTGAAGATTGGATCCCATTTTAGAAGTCGTTCATGCAGAAATCCAGATAATTTCCAAAGTGTTACGAACTATGTATGTAATGTTTAGTGTATTCTGAGCATTTCCATTTTTCCAATCCTTGTTTTAAAATGTCATGGTCACTGAGATATTTACATTTTTACATGCAAAGCACCTTATAGATCTGATTTGTCACTCACTCACTCACTATTAACAGGCTAAAGATGCTCTACAAGGGGGCACTGTTCACTGGTGTCGCTGGAGGCTGTGGTGGCAAATGTTCCTGCAGGAATTAGATTTTCCACCACAGGTGCCACCCCCATGGAAGGTAGCTGATAGCTTATTAGGCTGTCAGTCCTGGACATAGTTGTGCATTGTCCATTGCTTCTTTTTGGAAATAAGAGAACATGCTTGTATACCCTATTAGCACTTCATCTCGCTTCTCAGCATATGTTTAGTTTCAAAATCTATAACCTTTGTCAGGAGTGGTGAGACAAGTCCTCCAAAGTACAACCCCAAGTTGGGACACTGTGAAAAATCTAAATAAAAACAAAATGCAATGATGTGCAAATCATTTAAACCCTTTATGTAATTGAAAATAGTACAAAGACAACATATCAACTGTTGAAACTAAGAAATTTTATTGTTTTTTGAAAAATATATGCCCATTTTGAATTTGATGCCAGCAACGTGTTCCAAAAAAGTTGGGACAGGGGCAACAAAAGGCTGGTAAAGTTGTGTAATGCTTAACAAAACACCTGGTGGTTAATTGGCAACATGAGTGGGTAGAAAAAAGCATCCCAGAGAGGCTGAGTCTTTCAGAAGTAATGATGAGGACGGGTTCGCCAAGACTGCATGATCAAATAGTGCAACAATTCCAGAATAACATTTCTCAACATAAAATAGCAAAGAAATCTCTGTATGCAAGGGACAAGGCCGTGATCTTTGGGACCTCAGACGGCACTGCATTAAAAACAGACATGATTCTGTAGTGGAAATCACTGCATGGGCTCAGAAAAACTTGAAAACAGTTCGGCGCTGCTAATTAAATCTCTTAATTGCAAAGAAGCATATATAAACAGGATCCAGAAAATCTGCCACCTTCTTGGGGCCTGAGCTCATTTAAAATGGACTGAGGGGAAGTGGAAAAGTGTCCTGTGGTCTGATGAATCAACATTTGAAATTCTTTTTGGAAATCATGGACACTGTGTCGTCCGGGCTAAAGACCACTCAGCTTGTTATCAGTGCACAGTTCACAAGCCAGTATTCATGATGGTATAGGGGTTCATTAGTGCACATGGCATGGGTGACGTGCACATCTGTGAAGGCACCATTAATGCTGAACGATATATACATGTTTTGGCAACATATGCTACGTCTTTTTCAAGGAAGTCCTTGCTTATTTCAGCAAGACAATGTCAAACCACGATGTACATGTATTACAACAGCGTGGCTCTGTACTAAAAGAGTCCGGGCGCTAAACCGGCCTGCCTGCAGTCCAGACCTGTCACCGCTGAACTTTTGGCACATTAGAAAATGAAAAACATGACAAAGGAGACCCTAAACTATGGAGCAGCTAAAATCCTATGTTAAGCAAAAATGGGAAAACATTTCACTTTCAAAACAACAGCAGCTGGTCTCCTCAGTTCCCAAACACTTACAGAGTGTTGTTAAAAGAAGAGGTGATGAAACACAGTGGAAAATGTGCCCCCGTCCCAACTTTTTTGGAACATGTTGTTGGCTTCAAATTCAAAGTGGGCATATATTTTTCAAAAAACAGTAACATTTCTCAGTTTCAACTCTTGATCTGTTGTCTTTGTAATATTTTCAATGAAATATAGGGTTTAAATGATTTGCATATTATTGAATATTGTTTCTATTTTACGTTTTGCACTGCCTTCCAACTTTTTGGAAATGGGATTTGTGTTTCTGCAATGCTGTTTCGTGAAAGGATTTATGCCTCCATGAAATGGTTGATGTTCAGAGTTAGATAACTGTTTATAGTTAATGTTTCTCTAGCGCTAATGGTATGTTTTGCCAATTTAATGCATAATTAAACCATGTTTATACATTTCTAATCTTTAAATTCATGTAAGAGTCCTCCCTACATTTATTTCCAAAACAGTGACAGTATCACTTCTAATACATACACTCAATAAATGAATATTTATATAAAAAATATTTACTACAGTGATTTTCAAACTGTGGACCATATTGTGGGGATATCTGGGTCACAAGGAAGCCGCATCAATGCATTTTATCTTCTGCTGACTGTGGCGCTTGTGTCATCATTGTAGCAGGTTGTGAATGCTGATTACCTGACTGGAAACAGCAATGAAATATCTGGTCCATTCTGTGGTTAAAGTCACCGTGAATTGGAAATCAGGTTATAATTTTCTTTCTTAACATGATATACTTCCGACTGAAACAGTATATTCGGATAGGAAAAAAAAATGTTCTTTATGCACATGCTGTAGATACTCACATTCACTGCGAGAGCTTAAAGAGGTTGCCATTTTATTGCATTTTTTCAGGTTTGTCAAACAACTATATGATTATAAAATTAATATGACAAGGGGAGTGGTGATCTGGACATGCAGACATTATCTTCTCTTTCATTCACACACTTTTCCTAGCTGGTCTGTGGCCTAATTGCCTGTTCTTTTGCAGAATTGCTCAAATTACAGAGTCACTCGAAGCCCATATACACTTTACAAATTATTATTCTGCTCAGCCACTGGCAGATTTAACTTATCTTACTGATATATTTCACTCAGCTACTGGCAGATGGAACATTATTTAATCAGCCACTGGCATGTTTAACTACATAGTTTTATACAATCTTTGATTTAATGAAGATATTAGGATATTTCATGTTGTCACTGGAGCATTTCACTCAGTTTTGGCGTATTTCATTCAGCCACTGGTATATTCTACTGTAGGTAGTCTTTTAGCAAACACTGCTTGCGTTGATAGTTAGCAAACTCATAACAGTATTATTGTACTGTACAATATTAACCCCCACAAAAATCCACATTAGATCAGATATTACATTAGTTTACAATGACGAGGCAGTCAATCTAAAGTCTAAAGGATAAACAGCGAAGTAAATGCTGATCATCTGACAGCTAATGTTACTAGCCTATTCATAGCATAACTTACTTCACCTCATCACTTTTAGCTGGAAAACAGCACTTTTTGAAAGGTTAGGTTTGGTGATCAGTAGTGGTTGTATCAATGCCTATCTCACCATGAAGCTGAGATTTACTTCGTATTTTGATTTTCCATTCCACCTTAAATGGTGCAGCCGTTACAGTGTGGTGCCTATGAGGCATTTTTGAAGAGTTAGTTAGCTGATTCCAAATGTGATAAATCCAGTAAATGATGTTAAAAGTTTTATTTTATTAAATCTCTATGATTACATTTACAAATTGAGCTTGAATTGATGTTGATCTGTATTCTCACTGCAGTGCTTCCTACATGCTCAAAAAGTGAAGTTGCATCTGAACTGCTGAATGAACATTGCTTTTCTTTGTGCTTTTTTGCACTCTGATCTTTCATTTGATGGATGCACGTTAGTCAGCTCTGCAGATGTATTTTGTAATTTGAATTTCTGGATACTGTTTATATGTGGTTTCTTCTTTGCATGGTAGAATTGTAACTTGCATTTATGAATGCAGCAATGAACTGTGTTCACAGACAGTGGTTTCAAAAGTGTTCCTGAGCTCATGCAGTGATTTCCGCTAGAGAATTGTGTCTGTTTTTAATGCAGTGCCGCCTGAGGGCCCAAAGAAATACAATATTGGTTTTCAGACTTATCCTTTACATACAGAGATTTCTCCCAGTTCTCTGAAGCTTTTAATGATACTGATAATGATACCGTAGATTCTGGAAGATCCTGCCTCTCTGCCTCATCACTATGCTCTTTTTATACCCAATCATGTTACTTACCTGTTCCACCAGGTGTTTTTTTTTTTTTCAGCATTGCACAATTTAACCTGCCTTTTGTTGCCTCTGTCTTTGAAACATGTTGCTGGCATCAAATTCAAAATATAATTTTCAAAAAACGCTAACATTTCTCAGTTTATTTCCAATTAAATATAGGGTTTAAATGATTTGCACATCATTGCATTTTGTTTTTATTTACATTTTGCACAGCGTCCCTGTAATTTTACATAACGGTTTTGCATCCTGTATGTTTCTGTCAAGACTTGCTATATTGTGTTTGTTATTATGAACATGAAACCAGTTACCCATTTTATGTGAAATATTATTCTTTATATTTTATACACAGTTAACGTTTTAGCTTCATTCGGTCATTCTATAAGCAACTAATCTCAATATTTAAAATATTATTAAGAACGTTTGAACGATTGAGCCCCTACTAAGGGAGTTTTCTTCGAGTCCTCCCAAGGTCAGTTTCGTATGGGACCCGACACTATGAGACTTACTAGTGCAAAGCCGCTGTTTACAACAAAATCCGGCTTCATCAGTCAAGAACAGTTGCACGTAGATGTGGCTCTTGCAACCATTGAGACAATACAAAAGAATGTAAATAATTCTTTGAGCTAGAGTAAAGACATCTATGACGGGGGTGCACAACTCCGGTGCTGGGGGCCAGTATCCAGTACAGTTTGGAAGTTTTCGTGGTCAGGCACACTCACTAAGCCTGGCAATAACAAATGAGTAATCAGGTGAGTTAGAACAGGTAAATCACCAACTGTGCATCCCTGGTCTATGACATCAAAACTTTCCTCAAATGTAATACATTTGTGCTATATCAACTGTCTTGGTTTTATGTTGGAAGTACAAGAGCCTGAAATATAGGGTTTCTAAGCATTGGTGTGCTATTTAAAAAGAGAAGACACTTTCTTAATGCACACTACAGTGTCTCATTTTTCATAAAGGCATCTCCCACAATAGATATTTTTAATTTAAAAACGTTTTTATTCTCTTAGGCGTTTGAGTCCTTTTAAAGACTGTGTACTCTGTAATCTGCTCTGTCTTTTTGCACTGTCCTGCCATCAGTAGCTCTTGTACTTTTTTTTTATTGTTTTTATTTGCATGTTTATCTGCATGTTATTTTCCCTGTTGAATTTATTGTGCACTTTTGACTAGTCTTTGGTGTCTTTGTGGAGACTTGAAATTGCTGTTGCAGAAACTTTTTATATGTATGTGATGCAGGCTACATTTTTTCCAGGGCTTATTTACGATGTTGATTTTAGTCTTTGGTCATTTGTGAACGACTTGAGAAATTTGGTTGTTTTCCATGTGTTCCGTACACATGTGCTACATCTCTGAGCATCAGACTCTACTGGAGTTCAGTAAAAAGTACTGTAATGCAGCAGCGGTTGAGCCATGGATTCTTAGCAAAGGCTGTGAGACCATGCCGCTGTATAATACAGCTGACCGATGGAGGTTAGTGGACGCACAGGCTGCTTTACTAAAGGCTAAAGCAAGGCTAAGGGCTGTCATTACTCTAAGAGACTTCCTCAATACCAACCTGGACTAACATTAACTCAGACTGTGACAACGAGAGATCAGACAAAGGTCTACTATAGGCGTGTTTTACACTGTTTGTACATTGTCTTTTACAGAGTACTGTACATATTTACATAGTTACTGCATCCAGTTATTAAGTAATGGCACTCAGACTTGCCAGTATGGTTTAATAATTAATAATAAGTGTGCCTGGCTCCTACCCCTCCTGAAGTCCACTGTGATCTCCTTGGTTTTCTGGGTGTTGAGTGCCAGGTTGTTGTCCTCACACCATGCCGTCAGGTGCGGGTCCTCGTCCCTGTAGGCCGTCTTATCGTCACCTCTGATCAGACATAACACCATGGTGTCATCCGCGAACTTGATTCTGGAGTTAGAGCCATAAACAGGAACAAAGTCATGGGTGAACAGGGAGTACAAAAGAGGGCTGAGCACACAGCCTTGTGGCATGCAGGTATTCAGGGTGATGGGGGAGGAGAAGAGTTTGTCTAACTCAGTCAGGAAGTCCAGAATCCAGTTGCACAGAGATGTGCTGATACCAAGCTGGACAAGCTTTAAGATCAGCTTGGAGGGGATCACTGTGTTAAATGCTGAACTGAAGTCAATGAACAGCATTCTGACATATGAATTTTGACAGTCCAGGTGGGTTAGTACAGTGTGGAGTGCTGTGGAAGTGGTGTCCTCTGTTTAGCTGTTGCAGCGGTAGGCAAACTGGTGTGGGTCCAGTGTAACAGGCAGACAGGACTTCAAATGTGAAAGAACTAGTCTTTAATGCACTTGGAGATGATGGAGGTGAGTGCATTAAAGACTAGTTCTTTCACATTTGAAGTCTTTAACGCACTCACCTCCATCATCTCTCATCACTTGGAGATGATGGAGGTGAGTGCGACAGGGCAGAAGTCATTCAGAGCTGAAGCAGTCGAATGCTTTGGCACTGGCACAATGGTGGCAGTCTTGAAGCTAGTTGGGAGAACTGCCTGGGCCAGCGACAGATGTAAAGACCCCAGCCAGATGTTTAGCACAGGCTTTTTGCACACAACCAGGTACTCTATCAGGGCCTGCTGCCTTCTGTGCATTCATATACTCATACCTAGGTTCACATATATATTCATATAAAAGGTTCTTCTATTGTTACGATGTCAAGCCTGTAACAATAAAATAACACTTTTTGGCACTATATAGAACCCTTTCCAAAAAGGTTCTATATAGAACCATCTACAGCACATTTTTCTATCAATCGGAAGAACCCTGTAAAGATGCAAAACAAAGCCTTCAATCATGCAAAGTGTTCTTTGAGTGTTCATGGTTCTATACACAACAGTTTTCTTTACTAAAGAACCTTTGAAGAACTATCTTTTTTAAGAGTGTACCAAAGACCATCTGGGGAAAATTCTAATGTATGCATGTTCTTAGGAACCTTATTAGACTTATGTGCAAGCACTGCATCTTCTCTTCAGGAATCAAGAACCCAGTGTTGGTGGCCAGAAGACTACTGAGTGAAGCACAAAAAGGGAAGCTTTCAGCTGGCAGGATCCCTCCCTGGTGAGCCAACCCATTGGTTATTAAATAATTAACTATCTTGCTTTTGGTGTATTTGTGTTTGTTAGGTGTTGTCAGTTTTTTTGTTTAAAGGCTTTTTCTCTGCCTTTTTTAAACCAGTCGTTCATTTGTTTTAGAGATCAGGTGCTTGTTTCACTAAAGCAAATTAGGATTGGTAAAAATGTGGCCCTTAATATGGCACTTGTTTTGACAGATACTAGGCATGTTTCGGTTTTTGGCAAATCATTTTTACAAATATTTCAGCAAGATTAATAATGTTTATACAAGCGTCCAACACATCTCTGCAATAAAATTAAAATGTAATCTGTTTCCAAATGTTTGCTGTTTACTAAGAGATCCCTGCCATGGACATCTAGGAATGGAAACATGATATACAGTGTATGGGATAGGCAGTACCAACTCACTGAGGGTCTGATGGATTTCCATGAAAAACTTTCAGCACTTTCTGCAAAATTTCTCTAATGTAATTTATATAATTGTGTAATTATGAAACATTTCATTTTATATACTGTTCTTTGTAATCCTTGTATTTTTATTCTATATTGAAAATTTACTACACAGCCTAGAAACAGCCTGGGATACCATATCAATGACCCAGCAACATCTTGGCAACCACCTGGGATACCATAGCAACTGCTTTAACTTTTGAAGCATTTTTAGCTGGCTTTGTCAAGCCAATTAAAAGTTTGTTCACAAACTTTCCCTTTATAGTTGTTATTTCTTTTTCAAGGTCTAGTTTGAAAACCATTTTATAAAAATTTCATTTGTTGTCTGCTGGGAGCATCTGCAGTCACAATTACAGGGGTTAGTTTTGTGTTCAATATCCAGGGCACTGGAGCACTGCGCACTGCACACAGAGTTCAGAACTAAAAACTGTGGTGGCAACCTCCTTGGAAAACAAACTGAAATGACTTTGACAGGATATGTTCATTGTAAGACATGTAGGATGTGGGGATATGTCAGAACTTTTTGATAGTTATTAAAGTCTAACGTTATATGTTCTCTTATTTATCAACCATGAGGTGTGTAAACTCTATACTCTACCAGGGCAGTGGAGAGCCTGCATTTTACATTTTGGTCAGTGGTGAAGTCATTTATCAAATAATATTATTTTCACTTTGTTGAAGTCATAAAAGGGTATTTAATTTGATTTTTAAAAATTGTACAGCAGCCCTGTCATGTGGTCCTGCAAGGCACATTTGCCCTGGTACTGCCTACTTGAGATCTTTCATGTGAATGTTACTCAAGAACTGAAAAAGTCATCCTGTTTCTAAGCAAATAGATTGATGTTGTCTGTCTATGTCAGCTTTTTAGTGGGAACAGGCGCACAGCAATGGGCTCTCACTCACGGAATACCTCCATGTCCTTCAGAGAAGATGGCCACCAGTGAGTACTTTATACATTCATTGTCTATATTTCTGTTCCTGGCACCTGCACATTGGGTCACTACTGATTGGGTAGTGTCATTGCTGTTTCCACACTGTATCTCATAAAATCCTTATGTTCTCTTGCTAGTTGCAAACTTGACAGGCACTGATGAAGAACTGAAGGATTGGGGCTATGGCAGATAGCAGTAGTTGCTAACCAGTGATTGGAGGGCTGAGGAAAATGAGACAGAGCTTTGAAGATGTTATGTGTTATGATTTTAATTGGCCCTTATACAATGACAGGCATTATCAGTTTCCACACTAAATCTCATGAATGTTGACACACGGAAAAAAAATCCTTATGAAACTACTGAGGTTCAGACCTCTGTGTCCTTATTGGCATGATTTCAGGTGTACAGCTCCATTAAAACATGTAAAATGACAAAAAGAAGTTTCATTTTATGTGGCAATGCAGACTGTTTGCTGTAAATTCCCAAATTAATGACAATGCTAATGGCACACTGCATTTTCTCAAAGACAGTTTATAGTAAACAGCCAAACATATAGCCTGTAGACCTCAGAAGTCTTGTGTCATTCTGTAGTTGACATCATGCCCACATTAGGGACTCTGGGTCTAAGCAGATTTTTCTATCGGAAGCAAAACCATTTATTACCTTTTGGTTAGGCTACGGAGCCCCATAGGGGACACTAAGGAGAAAAAAAAATTGTGAGGAGGAAAATCTGCCCCCGCAGTTTAGTAATCCGTACTCTCAGTTTATAAACTGTGCCCACGGATTTGTAAACTGTACTCTCGTTTGGCAAAACTGTACCGACAGATTTGTAAACTGTACTCTCGGTTAGCAAAACTGTACCGACGGATTTGTACACTGTGTAAAGCACATGCTACCAGCCACAGCTACGGTACAGGCCACATTGATGAGATATTTTGAGAAACTGGAGAATTTTGTGACATTTCTGAATGAGGGCAGGCAATTGGACGACACAACTGTGTCGACCTTTCATGATGAAAAGATAAATATAAGCAAGTAACGTTAACGTGACATAAAGCAGACATTACCATAAAGTAGGTAGGATATTGTGCTGTAGCTTTCACATACACTGTTTTCAAAGGCTTTAACATTTCATTAAATTACAGTTTAACCTTACTGCTTAATTGGAGTGTTTTGTAGAAATGTATTATGTGAATGCGCTTGTTTAAAACGAGGCAAAAATAATCTCGTTTTTGTCTCTATTATGCCACTCCACGGCCAGCGACGACTGAATGGAGTGTCAGCTCGGAGAGCACATTGCATGTTAAAAGGAATAACATTAAACTCTGACTATGCAAAAATTGCTGGATATTTACAGCCCAGTGAACAATCGACGTTGAAATCACGTGCATGAGTGTCATTTCAGTACAGTACAGTTTACAAATCCGTCAGTACAGTTTTGCTAACCAAGAGTACAGTTTACAAATCCGTGGGCACAGTTCATAAACTGAGAGTACGAATTACTAAACTGCGGGGACAGATTTTCCTCCTCACAATTTTTTTTCTCGTTAGTGACCCCTACGGGGCTCCATATTAGGCTCACTATTTGGGCTGACTATTTTATTTTTTTTTTTTAAATGGTAAACTCATAATATGGTTGCTGCCTTTAGATATGGCATTACACATTTTGTACATCTGGATTTGTTATATAGAGTTTAAATTACCTGTTGGAATACAACTACCATAAACAGAAGAACCTGTGTCCAGTTTTTATCACTATGCTTGGGGAGATGGCTTGGGCAGTGGGGATATTGTACATCCCATGTAGTGAGAATAGTTTCTGGATAATTGACTACGAACAATTTACTACAACTTCTTTGATCACTCCAACTTCACAAAATATTTGAATAAAGATATGCCCATGTGCAACTGTGATTTTTTTTTGTGTTCATGCAGGATTAATTTCTCCTTGCGCGTGCAGCAGTATACAGCCCAGCAACACCTTCCCATGTAAAACTAATCTAGTCTGACTAGTACTTTAAAATTTGTGGATAGGAATATTAATCCTTGCTGTAATAGATGCTCAGATCTTAAGAGAAGAGTCAAAAAAGAGAAACATGGGCACCAGAGAAGCAGTGGGATTCTGGGTGCTTTGTAGAAGAGTAGTGATGGAATCCAATCAGTTAATGAGTTGCCATAGTCCATGTTTTCATGGAACAGAAGACACAAAAAGCTCATGATTATAGTTTCTGGAATACGATTGGCTGTGAAATCTGAGAAACTGAGAATTACTTCTTTGATATTTCCCAGAATTTAGTTTGTCAGCTTACAAAAGGAACAAACGGAAGATGGAGCTGGCAGAGAAAATAGAGACAGAACATCATTTTTTGAAGCGACAACGAACGTCAAGTGGAACTGTGAGTAAATGTATAAAAGCATGTAATGTGTCAAGATGCTGTATTTGAAGTTGCATTTTATTTATTTAAAGTTGAATTATTGTTGGTGTCAGCATATAGATCCCCCAGTAGTTTTTTCAGAGAGCACCTTGGTGGAATAAGCTGATGGCTGAAGGTGCTCCTGGGTAATACACAGTAGAGTGGACAGATAGAATTGTTCAAAATGTAGGCTCCAATTTGGCTACCATCCTCATCTCTGTTACTGCCCCCAAGTAAGTCCAGAATGAGCCCAGTGATGGCACTAGCTTTCCTAATGCGTTTATTGAGGCACCCAATCTGACCAAAGCAATAAAAAGAATGCTGGCCATAATAGACTGTCAGAATAACTCTAGTAAATGAATTGTCCTGTCTAAATAGGTTCAAATATATGTATCAAAATAAAAACAACTGGTGAAAAGAGACTGTCAAAATCCACAAAAACTGGGTACTGTATTTCTTAATGAGCAAGGAGGGAATAAAACACAATTTTTTGAAAACAAAGTTGAAATCAGATTGACTTATGGCTTCAATGAGATCCCTGCTGAACTCCCTGTTGGGCAGTTAAAGTTTTATGGCTAAAATGTAATTCTTTATGGCAGCTATGAATAGGTATTTTCGTGCAATAATACATCACTCTAGGCCTTCTGGAAGTCTTAGATATGTCACTGACTCTGAATACAAGCAGCAGCCTAATCAGTGGGTTGTTAGAAATGGGAAACAGTGGCGGCTTCATACCAGAACTCACTACTGAAAGAGTCACAGTGAAACTGTTGCAAGGTAAAATACATGTTATATATCTGTCAAAACGTCAGGTAAAACAAGCAATGTCTTTTAGAAGCTTCAAATGTCTGTGTTTAATCTGTTCATGCAATTGCTGTTAGTTTAGTGCAAACAAACTCCTAGTATCCCATAGCTCTGCTATCAGAAGTTAGCATTATTGTAGAGATGGGTTTTTTCCTCATGTTTTCAGGGAGTTTTGACATGTACAACTTAAGTTAAAAGCCTAGCTCTAATAATTATGGCTCGCCACTGGTGCAATACCTTCATCTTTGGCTCAGGGACTTTTTGCATTATCTGTTATTGCATTTTATTTTATTTTAATATCATGAAATGTGTCAAATGTTTACAAGACACTTTATTTGAAATTGCATGTTATTATTCACTTAAAATGCAGCCAGCTTACCAATATGCAATCCATGTTTAGCAATTGATTGGTACTTAATTTAAGAGAGTTTCATTGATTAGCTTGCATTCACATCTTCACCTAAATAGTGCTGATGCCTGGGCTTACAATAAATTCTAGTAATGTGTAGTTGTCCTGATATTAGCAGCATGATAACCGCTTCAGCTTTTTTTAGTGTTGTGTTTTTGTGCATGGAGTGGCACTGCAATAACTGTTTTAACCACAATTCTAAGAGTTAAGAGGTGTGCAGTGCTCTAATGAGCTTGAGTTTGGATGCACATCCAATTACTAGACATGTTACGAACAACCAAAATATGATTTACAGCCTTATACATGATACATCACTTCACATTTTACAAGGTTATAAGAATTGGGATGGCAGCACAGTAGACATGGATGATAGAAATACTGGTTTGTGGCAAGAGGACCTTGTTTGTTAAAAGGAAATGTAATGGCAGAGTAATTTTGCTGAGCAGAACACTAATTTAATCCATTTTTTTGTTCCAATAGGTGAGTGAAATTATAGAGCCTATCTCCTCGTCATTGGACACAGTGGGGGCAATTGTTGTGGATCAGGAAGGGAATGTGGCAGCTGCTGTTTCCAGCGGAGGTTTGGCCATGAAACATCCAGGGCGAGTGGGCCAGGTAGGAGACACTGATCCATCATGCAGTTTGATGTAATCACTACATCTTCCATAATTATGCAATGGGATTATAGAATCACACTCTGGCTGGAATGATATTATCCACTACAAAACATCTCTATACACCTTGGTAGAAAGTTTGTCATTTCTCAGCCTCATGTGTTGAATATGACGTAGCTGCAACAGTTATCTCCTTCCATACCTGTCTCCTACTCTGTGTAAGGCTGCTCATTATGGCTGTGGCTGCTGGGCTGAAAATGCGCATGATGCCAGACCTTATGCTACAGCTGTGAGTACCTCAGGTATGAAAAATCTCTGCTCTCTGGTGTATAAAATTTGAATCATGCTTAGTTTGATTTTTCATAGGTTATGGTCATATTACTCTTACATACATTTATTTATAATACATTTATTTATTTACGTATGTATGTATGTATGCATGTATGTATTTATTTATTTATTTAAAACATGCCCTAAAAGCTCTGCACAGGAGACGTGAAGTGTACACAGATAATTTCAGTAATCTGAATGCGCCACCCACAAAATCAACTTAAACAACCATGTAGATTCTGAATGCAGATCGTTTTTCCCCTCATATCTATTATCATAACTTTTAAACTTAAGTGACTGACTTTGAATACGGCCAAATATAACAAATGTCCACTCTATGCACATCTTGTTTTGAGCTTTTGCTATACATCAGCTATGGTTGAGGTTATAGGCAGTGTGTATAATAGCATTACTGTCTGAAACCCATTGCCAGAAATGGTGTCTATCTATTATGATTCAGTGCCATAGGTGGATAGTTTTTTTTCATGAGTGACCAATCACTCCATAGAGGATGGACAAGCTCTGGAAATCTTTACCTGAAAACCTGAGAGCAATTGATATTCTTGGCACTTTTAAAAGGCATCCTAAAACACACTTAATTAGTACTGCATTTAAATAGAATAAGGGCCTTTGTGGACTTTTGTTTATTAGTTATTTCTCTCCTTTAGGATTTCATTGCACATTTCTTATGTTTTTATTTAATACACTGTGTGGAGTCCACAATTTCATATTTCAGTAGCAAATCTTATCTTAAATTAAGTAACATATCTTACAGTATCTTATCTCAAGTTAGAAAATCCTAGTTGAGGTTGATAATCAATTATCATGTCTGTTACCAAGCAACCATTTCTTTAAAAGTTTGACTGCAAACAACAATTGTACAGAATATAGAACAATGATTATTGTTTTAAAGGTTAATGAACTATAATTTTTAAGGCAACCAGGTTACTAACTTTTAGATAAAACATCGATTCAATTTTTACAGTGTACCAATAAATATGCACTATGGTAGGACATTTTGACAAGGTAGGACAGCATTATTTTGCCTAACAAAAGAGCCATATATTCAGCTCTCCTCATTCACCACCATTGCTGCAATATTTGAAAAGTTTTCATCATACATTAACACACGCAGATGGAAAAGCCATATGCAGCCTTCAAAAAACACAGTGTGAAGAAAAAAAGGCAGTGCACTGCAGCTCAGAAAAACACTGCAGTCCTCCACTTACCTATTATCAATACCTTGCTAGCTCATTGCGGGATTGTACTGTTATGAGCTGCTACCGCCGCATGTAAATGAGATAAAAGCGTGGCAACATCTCACATTGAACGAAGTGTGATATTTGACAGTAATTCTCGTTTACAATTAAGCAAACATGATCCTATTTGCTCTGAATGACGAGGTAAATGTTGGCATTGCCCTTAACTGACTTTCCTTCTTATTCTAAACAACAACAGACATTCATCAGGGCCCAGTTTCCCAAAAGCATCTTAATGTTAAGCTCATCTTAACTTGTACAGAAAGTGTTTAGTGTGATGCTTGCGCTACCGTTTAAGAATCATCTTTGTGCTAAAGTGATTTTTGGAAAGCCTTGAGTTTTCAGATCAGTAATGAGATTTGTGATAAATGCCTATAAATAGTTTTCTTGTTGGTGTGATTATAACAAAAACATATAGTGAGATTTTGTGTTTGGGAGTATAAATCAAAAGTCCAAAAAGTTTACTTTCTGCAAAGGGTTCATTGCAGTCATGCAGAACTTGAGTTTGCAACAACAGGGGGTAAGTGATGGATAAATTATAGGATTTTAAATTATGGTGTAGAATTTTGCTCATTCCTGTTATTCTTGTTGATCTTAAGGATGTGGTGAGCACCTGATACGCACTATGCTAGCCAGAGAGTGTTCCACAGCTGTGCAGGCTGAAGATGCACATCAAGCCCTCCTGGAGGCTATGCAAAACAAGTTCATAGGTGAGTAGTGCAACTACATGGTATGACAGGCCGTTTAGGCCAAAATTCTAACTTACCTCTCACACTCACTACCAGACCTCTCACTCTCACTATCAAACTCCCTCACACTCACTATCAAACCCTCTCACACTCGCTAGCAAACTTCACACTCACTATCAAACTCTCTCACACACGCTATCAAACTCTCTCACATTCACTATCAAACTCCCTCACACTCACTATCAAACTCTCTCACTCTCGCTAGCAAACCTCTCACACTCACTATCAAACTCACACACAAACTATCAAACTCTCTCACACTCGCTATCAAACCTCTCACACTCACTATCAAACCTCCCACACTTGCTATCAAACTCTCTCACACTCACTATCAAACTCTCACACACACTATTAAACTCTAGGCGTTCTTGATAGTGAGTGTGAGAGAACTTGGTAGAGTGTATAAGAGAACTTGATGGTCATGTTTTCTGATTGGCCTAGTTATCATTTAAATTAGCAGTTTCTGATTCGCTCATAGTCAAATATGCTCGTCCCCCACGTGCGGTAGTTCACTCTTAAGAACAGATAGTTCTTCAAAGGTCCTTTAGTAAAGACAGTGTTTCTATATTACTACAGCATTTTAGGGCCACTGTTAATAAAAATAAAAATAGTAGACTTTGAGAATAAAGTTGTAATATTTTGAGAAAAAAGTCGTAATATTTCAGGAGAAAAGTTGTACTCTTTTGAGAAGAAAGTCGTAGAATTACGACATTAAAGTGGCAGTAATACCAGGAAAGGTCGCAATATTGTGGCCAAAGGCTTTGCAAAGGGAAGGCGGCACCTCCTCGTGTTAAATGAGTAATGTTGAGGAGTTGGTGGAGTTATACTTTCATATCGATTTCACCCATAAAGAAATACTCCCTGTCTCTCCTGCACATCAGCACCAGCCTGTTATTAGTATAAGAAACGGCTGAAACGGCTGTGCAGGAAACTGTTTATTTAGAATAAAGAACCAGACGGACTCAGAGGAAACTGTCTGTCTGTTTTGTTGAAGGAGAATCGCAGGCAGGGTCGTCTACACAGCTATCGGTGGCTACATCTCCGTGCCATTCAAAGGGGGTATGAAGTTTCACAGACAATGAGAATGATAATCCAAACGATCGATCCACAAGCAGACAGGAGTGTGTGAAACTCTGGCACCAGTACGCCAACCGAGGCCCCAACGCGTTATGGCAGGCCCCCTACAGTTAGCCCACTTTATCCTTGAAATATTACGACTTTATTCTCGAAGTCTACTATTTTTATTTACATTAACAGTGGCCCTAAAATGCCGTCGTGGTTTCACAACCTAAGCATAAAATTAAAAAAAAAAAAACAGAAGTAGAATAAAGGGTCGTATTTTACTTATCTAAATGTAAAAGTTTCCATCACTATACCCGGAAATAAACGTGCAGAGGGCACATACGGTCGCAGAACCTCAAAAATCATTTGTGGTTAAAAAATGATAAAGACAGAAAAGATCGAGCATGAATGTTGAGAGGATAGGCCTAGTCCGCCATTTGGGGAGGCAACATTACGTTTTATAGGTGTTTGTATATTTGATGCTGTAATGCGTTAACGGAATCCAGACGCTTGCAGATAAAGAACCAAAAGGAGGCTTTAATGTTTAAATCAGAATTCATGGTTGTTGTCGAGAAACAGCTAAAAAGGTCAAAACACAGTAAGCAGAGATCCAGGGCAAACAATCCAAAGGGCAGAACAAAAACAGAGTCTGAGAAACGAAAAATACAGGTCATTCACAGCAGTATATAACAGATAGAACGCTCAGTAGTTTGTAATCGAAACAATACCTCACAACTGACTGTGGCTAAGCTAAGAATGTCATATGATCAAACACACAGGTGTCACCCATTAGTATTCCGGTGATCCAGTCGAGCAATGAGAGAACTAGAGAGCACTCTACGCGGGTGATCTCTGGGACGAAGAGCAGTCTTGTCAGGATGAAGGCTGTGAAAGTCTGCCACAAGACCTGGGTCCAGGATGTCTCTCGCAGGCACCCAACTCTGCTCCTCTGGTCCGTATCCCTCCCAGTCCACTAGGTACTGGAGTTGCCCTCCACGTCTCCAGGAGTCCATCAGCCTACGAACAGTGTAGACTGGTGCCACCTCTATCTCCGCTGGCGGAGGTGGTGTGCCATCTGGCGTAGCCTCATCCAAGGGCCCTGCAATAACGGGTTTAAGAAGAGAAACATGAAATGAGCGTGAGACACGATAATGGGGGGGTAAGTCTAGTCTATAGGCTACATCATTAGTCCTCTTCACTATTTTGAATGGCCCTATGTATTTGGGATGAATCTTTCAACTTCCCTCAAGGTGACGGAAGTCCTTGGTGGACAATCATACACGGTCTCCAGGCTGAAATACAGGGTTTGCACTCCGGCGTCTGTCAGCTTGTTCTTTGTTCCTTTCTAGTACATTTTCTATACGCTGTTGTGCATCTTCCCACACCTTTTCACTCTTCTGCATCCATTCATCCACTGCTGGTACATCGGTAGACGTACCCATCCAGGGCGCTAAAGGTGGTTGGAACCCCAAAATACACTGAAAGGGTGTCATTCCAGTAGCTGAGCTAGTGAGTGAGTCATCTCGGCCCAGGGTAAGAAACGTGACCAGTCAGAGGGATTTTCATGACCGAATATTCTAAAGGAATTTACTTAATTCCTGGTTCACCCTTTTACATTGTCCATTCAATTGGGGGTGATACCCAGAAGTGAGACTTATTGAAACTCCTAAACTCTCAAAAAACGCAGCCCAAACTTGGGAAGTAAATTGGGGTCCCCTATTGGACACGACTGCGATGGACTGGCGACCTGTCCAGGGTGTATCCTGCCTTCCGCCCAATGACAGCTGGGATAGGCTCCAGCGCCCCACCGCGACCCAGAAGGATAAGCGGTTTAGATGATGTATGTATGTATGTATGTATGTATGTATTGGACACGATATTTTCTGGTATGCCAAACAGCCTGAAAACATAGTGGAATAGTGCCTCTGCTGTCTGAAATGCACTTGGTAAAGAAGGAAAGGGAACAAATCTGACCCTCCTAGAAAAGCGGTCTATAACCGTCAGAATGGTTGTAAAGCCTTGTGATTTGGGCAGGTCAGTTACAAAGTCTATGGCTATGTGGGACCAGGGTCTGGCAGGGACTGATAAGGGGACAATCTTTCCTGCTGGCAGTGTCTTAGGGGTTTTGCATTGAGCACATGTAGAGCAGGAGCTTACAAAAGAATGTGTGTCCTTATGCATCGATTCCCACCAGTATCAATGGGATAAGAGCTGGTGCGTGCTTGTCCCTCCAGGGTGGCCTGGCGTAAGTGATGAATGGGCCCAAGTAATGAGTTGTGTACAGAACTGATCGGGTACCTATGTCTTCCCTGGGGGGCGCTGACTTTGTACCACTACATTTGGTGATGCCTTTGCGATCTCTTTGTCTATCTCCCAACGAATAGAGGCTATAGAAACTTCAGGTGGGAGGATGCGTTCAAACTTATCCATTTCAGGTGAGAGACTGTCTTTCTGGTACAGTCGGGATAAAGCATCTGCTTTAGTATTTCTGGATCCGGGTCCATAGGTTATGCTGAAATTAAAACGAGAGAAGAATAATGACCATCTAGCTTGACGTGAGTTTAAACGTTTAGCATTGCGCAGGTATTCTAGGTTTTTGTGGTCTGTTAACACGACAAACGGATGTGTGGCGCCTTCGAGCCAGTGTCGCCATTCTTCAAGGGCTAATTTGACGGCTAATAATTGCCTATCACCTATGTCATAGTTTCATTCTGCTGGGGACAATTTATGGGAATAGAAAGCTATGGGATGTAATTTTGGAGGTGAGCCTGAGCGTTGGGATTGCACAGCTCCTACACCGGTTTCGGACGCGTCTACTTCTACGACGAAGGGCTCTGAAGGGTCTGGATGCTTTAAAATGGGGGCTGTGGTGAGGGCTTCTTTTAGTTTCTGAAATGCCCTTTCTGCCTGCTCTGTTCATTTTAGTCTCTTAGTGCCACCTTTAAGTGAAGATGTAAGAGGAGCCGCAATACTAAAGTTCTGTATAAATCGGCGGTAGAAATTTGCGAAACCTAAGAATCTCTGTATTTCTTTCACTGATGAGGGTGCTGACCACTGAACTACTGCCTAAGAATGATACTGATTGCAAATGAAACTCACATTTTTTGCCTTTCAAATACAAATTGCTGTCCAGTAAACGTCTCAATACAGCACAAACATGTTGGACATGTGATTCTTTGTCAGGGGAGTACACTAGGATATCATCTAAATATGCAGTAACATATCTCCCTAGCATGTCTGAGTACTTCATTAATAAATGCTTGAAAGACAGAGGGGGCGATAGAGAGTCCGAAAGGCATCACCAAGTATTCATAGTGCCCCCTTGTGGTCACGAAAGCAGTCTTCCACTCGTCTCCTTCCCCGATTCTGATCAAGTTGTATGCACTCCTGAGATCAAGTTTAGTGGAGTATTTTGCCCCTCTTAATTGTTCCAAGGCTACCAGAACTAGAGGAAGAGGATATGGGTAGGTTTTAGTGATTTGATTAAGGGCTCGATAGTCGATGCAAGGGCGTAATCCACCATCTTTCTTTTTAATGAAAAAGAAGCTAGAAGCTACAGGAGAGGTGGATGGTCTAATAAAGCCCTGTTCTAGAGCTTCGTTGATGTACGTGTCTAGAGCCTTTTCTTCCTCTTGTGTCAAGGGATATATTTTAGATTTAGGAAAAACAGGGTTATCTGTGAGTTCAATGGCAGAGTCATAAGTTCTATGTGGGGGCAGCTTGGTAGCATTGTTCTTATTGAAGACTTCTTTCAAATCAGTGTATTCGGAAGGGACTTGGAAGTAGTCGTTAGCATTGGGGCTTTCTACAGAGGTGGATGAGATCTTGATTGATGGAGGTGTAATACATGACTGGCACCAAAAATCCGACCATCTTTGAATAGTGTGTTCAGGCCAAGAAATGGAGGGATTGTGTTTCTCTAGCCATGGGAGACCTAAAATCAACTTGAATTCTGATTGTTCCAGTACTAGGAAGGATAAAGTCTCTTTGTGTAGTGCACTGGCCTGTAGTAGAATGGGTTGTGTGACTTGTGAGATGATCCCCAGGCCTGCTGGACCTCCGTCCAAAGCTGCCACCTTTAATGATGTCTTCAACGTCTCCACTGGAATGCGAAGCTGCTCCACCAATCGGGCGTGAATGACATTCCTTTCCGCTCCGGAATTGATCAGGGCTGAAACGATAAGAGAGTAGGGTGACAGTATATGGTTACAGGTATCATAACAGACTTTGAAACCAACCCCTTAGTGGGTACGGCGCCTTATGTCCAGGGGTCGGCGCCTTATGTGCTTGTGGTCTGACTTGACAGTCACAAAGTCGATGTCCAGCATTGCCACACTAGAGACAGAGATGCTCTCTGAAGCGACGCTGTCTCTCCTCTTGGGACAAACGTAATGAGTCACACTGCATGGGCTCGGTGCTTTCAGTGGGTTCTTGGGCTATTTTCACTCTGTTGAACGTTCTTCTGGTCCTTTGTTCGTTCTTGGGTTGCGATCGGTGATGAAGCAAATGATCCAAGCGTATAGCAAGATTGATAAGCTAATCTAGGCTCAAATCGTTATCTTTATAAGCGAGCTCACTTAATATATCCGCATTTAATCCTTGTCGAAACATTACTAGAAGAGCAGCCTCGTTCCACCCACTACTAGCTGCCAGGGTGCGGAACTCCAGAGAATAGTTTACCACTGAGCGATTCCCTTGACGTAACTTAGACAGCAATTCACCACTAACTTTGCTCTCGTTTGGGTGATCAAACATGGTCTTAAATTCCATAATAAACTGGGCATAAGATAATCGATGGATATGAATCCAACTTGCAGTAGCCCATTCCAGTGTTTTATTAGCTAACTTTGACACTATGAAGGAGATTTTAGCTTGATCAGAACTGACTGGTGAATTCTCGAAAAACACTGAACGTTGGAGGAAAAACCTGCAGCACTTATCTGGATCTTCCTCAAATTTATCAGGTTTACTTACAGGAAATACAGCAGGAGAAGCCTCAGCTTGAGACCTAGTGTCATTAGTAGTAACTTTGAGTGGCGCCAGGTTCATATTTTGCAGCTGACTAGTTAACCCCTTTACAATAGTGACTAGTTGAGTTTGCTGTTCAGCTTGTTGGTGAGCTAGCGCCTCTAATGAATGAGTTACTCCTGTCAGAACCTGTTGATGACGTCCCAGTAACTGGCCTTGTTCCGTCAGGGCTTTCTGGAAGGCTTCCGGGTCCGCCGTCTGCATGTTCGGGGAGGTATTCTGTAATGCGTTAACAGAATCCAGATGCTTGCGGATAAAGAACCAAAAGGAGGCTTTGATGTTTAAATCAGAACCCAAGGTCGTCGTCAAGAAACAGGCAAAAAGGTAAAAACACAGTAAGCAGAGATCCAGGGCAAACAATCCAAAGGGCAGAGCAAAAACAGAGTCGGAGAAACGAAAAATACAGGTCATTCACAGCAGTATACAACAGATAGAACGCTCAGTAGTTCGTAATCGAAACAATACCTCGCAACTGACTGTGGCTAAAGCCTGGGCTTATAAACTAAGCTAAGGAGGTCATATGATCAAACACACAGGTGTCACCCATTAGTATTCCAGTGATCCAGAACGCTGATAGGAGCGTGAGGAGAGTTCGGAAGTCAGCTGAAACAGTGACAGATGCAGCTTTTCTATCAGCAAAAAACTGAAGCGACATGAGGAACAGACTCTACAGGACTCCCACCATTTAACAGCGAAATCAAAGAGAAATGAAAGTCACTCTGCCCAATAATGATGAGAAAAATTAATTGTAATGTCACGTCGTCAGATGTAAACTTCGTTATAGTGATTGTGTTACAGCTCCAGACTTAAAAATTATAGCTGTGAGCTCCTCGCTGTCCTGTGTTCATATTGTTCATATAATACTGTGGTGGCTCTGGTTTTGGGAAGGAGCTTTGAGGCACATTATGCAGAGCTGCGCCGTGGCTCCACCCCTTAAGGGACTGGGTTGTAGTTTAATGATGTTAGTGTTATTGTTCTGTTAGTCTAAAATGTATGTGTGTGTTATTTGTGTTATTCTGTAGCCTCTCCCGTGACTCCTTCTTCACCAACACACTCATCACCCATATCAGAGTGAGGCACCAACCAGCGCCTTCGGTACATTATACTAAACTGTCACTGCGAGGCTCTGTGTTCGGCTTTAGGTTGTTGTGAAGGAAAAGCAAGGATTAACCGCTATTTACACACAGAAAAAAATGGAATCGCCAGTATAATCTGAAGTGTCTGAAGAGGTGCATGCACGTGAAGGGGAGTCAGGATTCTGCACAACCCTAACAAACAGGCCTGATTTCAGTGATTTCTGAGTGTCTGAGACCATGCGTGCCCTCTGCACATCTACCTCAGGTTAAGGTGATAGATTTTTAAAATTTGGATAAGTAATTTACGACCCTTTATTCCATTGTTGTTTGTTTGTTATTTAATTTTATGCTTAGTTTGTGAAACTGTGAAACAAAGCTATTTCATGATTTTTCCACTGACAATAACAGAATAAAAGACGAGAATACACGGACCGCTATAGCACCAAAACGACTTTAGTCATACGTATAACCATTTACAGCACATTGTCTATCAATCTGAAGAACGATTTCACCATGCCAAGAGCTCTTTAATCATGCAAATGGTTCTTTTTGTGTTACCAGTTCTATATAGAACCACTGTCTTTACTAAAGGACCTTTGAAGAACTATCTGTTTTTAAGAGTGAACTACTGCACGTGGGGGGCGGGCATATTTGACTATGAGCGAATCAGAAACTGCTAACTTATTAAATGATAACTCTCTAGGCCAATCAGAAAACATGACCATCAAGTTCTCTCATACACTCTATCAAGCTCTCTCCTACTCACTATCAAGAACACCTAGAGTTTGATAGTGTGTGTAAGAAAGTTTGACAGTGTGTGTGAGAGAGTTTGATAGTAAGTGTGAGAGAGTTTGATAGTGAGTGTGAGAGGGTTTGATAGTAAGTGTGAGAGAGTTTGATAGTGAGTGTGAGAGGGTTTGATAGCGAGTGTGAGAGGTTTGATAGTGAGTGTGAGAGAGTTTGATAGTGTGTGTGAGAGTTTGATAGTGAGTGTGAGAGAGTTTGATAGTGAGTGTGAGAGGATTGATAGTGAGAGGTTTGATAGTGAGTGTAAGAGGATTGATAGTGAGAGGTTTGATAGTGAGTGTGAGAGGACTGATAGTGAGTGTGAGAGATTTGATAGTGAGTGTGAGAGGACTGATAGTGAGTGTGAGAGATTTGATAGTGAGTGTGAGAGGTAAGTTAGAATTTTGGCCTAAATGGCCTCTCATAATATGGTGTGGTCTCCCTTGAAACATCTTTTTTTTTTCTTTCGCAGTGTCTTTTGTCTTTTCGCAGTGCCATTTGCTGTACAACAGTAAGTGAACCACTAGGAAGTGGACACTCTGAGTTGATGGAACGTGAATGGTATTATGAGTAAAATGTTTAATATATAACAGTTAAAATTGCATGATAATCATGGCTGTTTGCGCATTCACAAAAAATGGTGGTGTACAAATTAGAAGATCTTCAGGCATCGTTCCTCAGACTAAACAACTTCAGATCTTGCACAATTGGACATCAGGCAAAACAGCCTTAAACAGCAAGACATCAAACACAGCCACCACAGACACTATGGCCCCAGACCCAAATTTCTTTGATCCCATTGCTGCAGTTGGTAATACAGCATTGGTGGTAGATGTTTTTTGTAGAGAGCATTCACATAACTTAAATATATATTTTGTTTGGAACAATCCTCAGCCTTGCTTTGCAGCTCAAGAGTTTTAACTAATGCTTGCTAGCTAAGGTCTTAGGCTAGATCCAAGGATGTCCTAACATGTTCAAAGTTATGTACATGAATGACAAACAATAAACAAACAAAGGCCCTACATGTCCTGAATGCATTGGCTGATCTACAGGGTCACATGCGGATGGCAGCTGCCACCCCCTTCTTGTGCCCACCTCCCCAATTCTGCAGCCCCTTATGATGCAATTAAGCACAGTGTGCCTGTACTCCCAAAATTTTTAAAATGAACAAGAACGTTGTGTTTAAAAAGCGAAATCTTATTTAACTGCCATTCTGTTTATTCACATCTCATCAAAAAATCATAAACATTTTTCATGCCTGCTGTGGCAGTATGCTTTAGTCTAGGATGCTTTACAGGTCAGGTTTAAGTTAAATTAGTCAGAGAGGTTTGCATGAAATGTAGTAACATTTTTATGTAAAAGAAGGTTGATTACCTCTTGTTGCAGCATAAAGAATCATCATTTTTACAGCAGCCAAAAGGCACAATGTCTGCTTGAATGGTTCACCATTAGGGTACTCTGGCTAATGAGTAATGAATGTGTCCTGATATTTCAGCCACACTCTTCCTTGCAGGTGCATAAAATCAAAAGCATATAACGATGTAATCTCCATAACCTAGCAGCTGCAGTAGGATGCACTATAGTGAAGAGCTCAGTTATTTTCAGCATAGTCAAATATCTGCTAGCTTTGCCCTGATGTGCTGCAAGCACGTAAAACCATTCTCTGTTAGCTCACTGCTAAATTTCAAACTACCTCTGGAAGCAACATTAGCACAAGAAGTGTTCGTCAGGAGCTTCATGGATTGAGTTTCCATGGATCACCATGTGCAGTGTCAGTCTTCGGCTGGAGTGGTGTAAAGTACACTGCAATTGGACATGTTTGTTTTTGTCCTTAGCCAGAAGTTCCAGAATGTAACTGCTGCACCGTTTAAGGTGGGATGGAAAATTTGAAAAGGTCGGTTATGAATTAAACACAGACATCTGAAGCTTTTTAAAGACATTTCATGTTTTACTCAAAGCTTGTGAGAGGCATATTAGCATATATTTGACCTTGTAGCAGTTTCACAGTGACTCTTAGTAGTGTACTGCTGCTGCCGGTTTTTTTTTGCTGTTTTCCATATTAAGACGTTTGAGAAGGCCTCAAGTGACGTTTTTTCCTCACAGAATTGGTCCCACCTATTGTAATTTAAAACATGATTGGGTGATTCCTCTGTCACTTTGTAATTATGTTGATAGTTAATCCGACAAATTAGGACTTCTATTCAGCTTTCGAAGTCATAATCAATAGGAGAGCTCACTTAACTATATCTACCTAGATGTAGATCCTGACAGCAACAATATATAAATTTATTGAATTCATGATACAACATGAAACATGTTGAAAATCACATAACACACAACTTGAATTGCTTGTGTTTGATGCTGCTGTTGTAATGTAATAGGTAAACTAATGTAATGATGCTTTTTTTGTCATATGACTGATGACATTACATCAGAAGGTTTATCATAACAGAGGACAAACAAACACATCTAAACAGTTTTTGCAATGTGTATGTTTTTGTTTTCCTTTGTCATTCCTTTTTACTCACTTATACCACATCCATGAAGTCTTCTTCCCCTTCCACAGTCTCATCAGTGCAGTGCTAACCTGTTAAGAAGTTTGCTCATATGCTTCATGAAAGAATTTGAAGCACTTGTACTAAAGTGATGGATATGTATGTTTTTTTATATTGTTCTGAAGGACCCCCATGGACCCTCACAGAGCAGGTACTATTTGGGTGGTGGATCATTCTCAGCACTGCAGTAACACTGACGTGGTGGTGGTGTGTTAGTGTGTGTTTTGCTGGTACGAGTGGATCAGACACAGCAGTGCTGCTGGAGTTTTTAAACACTGTGTCCACTCACTGTCCACACTATTAGACACTTCTACCCTGTCAGTTCACCTTGTAAATGTAAAGTCAGAGACGGTAGCTCATCTGCTGCTGCACAGGTTGTGTTGGTCATCCTCTAGTCCTTCATCAGTGGTCACAGGATGCTGTTGGCTGGATATTTTTGGTTTGTGGACTATTCTCAGTCCAGCAGTGACACTGAGGTGTTTAAAAACTCCACTCAGACCAGCGCATCACACACTAACACACCACCACCACATCAGTGTTACTGCAGTGCCGAGAATGATCCACCACCAAATAGTACCTGCTCTGTGAGGTTCCATGGGGGTCCTGACCACTGAAGAACAGGGTAAAAGGAGGCTAACAAAATATGCAGAAAAAACAGATGGACTACAGTCTGTAACTGTAGAACTACAAAGTGCACCTATATAGTAAGTGAAGCTGATAAAATGGACAATGAGCGTAGAAACAAGGAGGTGGTCATAATGTTATCGGTGTGTGTGTGTGTGTGTGTATATATATATATATATATAATATATATATATAATATATGTGTGTGTGTGTGTGTGTGTGTGTGTGTGTGTGTGTGTTTAGAGAAACTCTTGACTAAATGGGACTTAATCTAACTCTGTGTGTGTTACAGGTTCACCATTCCTGGCCAGTGAGGATGGTGTTCTGGGTGGAGTAATTGTTCTAAGATGTTGTAAATGTGGAGATGATCAGAGCTCTGACAGTCTCCGGGCTTTGCTGGGTATGTCCTATACTTGCTAACACAACACCTTACAGTAAGAATAAAGTAACACGTTCTGGTAACCCTCGCTTTCCATCAACACAGCACATCCCTTACCTTCAGTGACACTCAAGACGTTCCCTAAAAATACACAGATACATGCAAACATAAGTAGCTAAGGGCTGAAGGAAGTATTAAATCCTGAAAGTGCCTGAATAGCACTTCACAACACACCATGATGAAATTGGTGACTGAATGTACATCAGAGAGAAAGTTGGAAGCCCATGTAGTCAATAACACAGATTTTCAATGCAACACTGTCATCATCACAATATATTTGGTTCCTTGAGTGACCTTGAATTCAAACAATGAGAATTAAATCAAGCTTCATTTTTCCAAAGATATTCAGTCCCTTTACTACTTTTTGCTAGCATTTTGCCCATCTTTCTTTTTTCTGTTTATGGATTTTGCAAGATAGTCTTTTGGTCAATTCAAAACCTTTCTTTTGCTTCTCAGTTTTGACATTTCTGTTGGCGGGTGGGGGGGGGTCTTCAGAATTAACATTCCACTTTCTTTTTCTTTCAGTCAACTGATTGTGAAGTGACAGGTCTCCTTAGGACTCTTAGCCACACCAACAAAACCGTAGAAAACCACCAACGTGGCGAAACGCATCACAAAGTGTGGTGTTACGCTGGCATGTTCTATGTTTTTAAGCAATATCTTTTGTGTTCTGTTCAAATTATGAACATAATACAGGTTGGATTCATGGGTCAAGTGATCAGCTTTGCAAAATATATTTTGGGTATACCTAGTTTTAGACCAAGCTGTAACACCTTTTGGTTTTGCAGATACTAGTGCTTTGTCTAACAGCTTTACCAAATACACTTCAGCTTCTAAAAAATCTTGCGTAACACAGGAAACAAACATGTTAAACGAGACTGATTAACACTGGGAAACAATGCTTATAATCAGATATGCCCATGTTCTACAATGTTGGAGAAGTTTCATGGTTTGTGGAGTGGGTGTGCCTAGGGTCAGAGGATCTGTCACTCCAAAATCTGTTGACCGATAGAGTGAATGCCTTCTTCTAAAACCCACGCAAACATAAAAACTCAGAAGCCAAAGAGTATTTCGCCAAATCTTCAAATAAGAAAACTGTTTGATGGGCAAAAACGAGTAGTAAAAAACTGAATATTTTTTTAAAAATTAAGCTTAATTTATTTCTTGACTTTAATAAGCAGATGCACAGCACTAGAAGAGGCCCTCTTAAGCTATGCAGGATGTGTTCCATATCTGGTTGTGGTCTTTTGAATGGAATAGGCGAACAGATGCTGAAAAACCACACAAGCATCCCAACCACCTTTATGGGTAGGTTTTCCAGTTCCCTCCTCACCAGGTCAGCAATATCATAAATCTGAGGAAAAGTAATGGGAATGAAGGCCCTGAGAATAGTATAACATAGGAGGTAGCTGAAGTGGGAGGGAGCCTGCCCGATACTCTGGTGCCGGCAGTGACAGAGGAGGGCTGAACTCAAATCTGTTAAAAATGTATTTAACTCATGAGCCCTGTCAAAGTTCCCCATTACCATCAGTTTTCCTAATCCCATTCCACACCTCCTGCTGAAGCTTGTGCTCTAGTTGGAACTTCTGCTCTGCCTGAACAAGTTTGTCTCCTTGCCAGAAGATCTGTTTTTGTAGAAACTACATTACCTACAAAGAATTTGTTGGAAGGAGCAGAGTCTCCTCAACCTCTTTTGCCCACTTCCTCACCATCCTTGTGGTAACAGCCAGCTGTTGGATGGTTTGTTTCGAGATGAACCACTTATGATCTTACCAAGGGTGACAAACCAGTTGAGGCTCTGGTCAGAATAAAAAATGTAATCACTGATCTGTTATAAACATGCCTACTATGCCTACCTACACTACCAGTGTTTTTGGGTAGGTACTCAGTGTTTGAATTTTTTTGCTATTTTACTAAGTAGTGCCAGAAGGAGGCAAGATAGTAAACTTTACTTGGTGGGAAGCTCAATATCTTTGCTAACTGTCTTCAAATCAATTACAGTGCAGAGCATCTTCACCAGTAACATGCTGGCTTTGCGTCATTCAAACTTACATACTAACATACACTTAAATGCAGTGGCGAACCTTGACTATTAAGGCCTTTACGTTACATACCGAGCATGATTTATTCATACAACAATAAATTAATCACATGCACACCAAATGCAAAACACGGTAACATAAATTTATTTGTCCTCAGTTCAATTTTTGTAAACATTCGCAGACAACGTTGAATGTTGACAATAAAGATGAATCAGCTGTGTCCCAGCAACTAAAACATTTTGTGTTTACACAGGAATTCATCAACAGACACAGAAATGCCTATAAATAATAATAAGATACAGTATTCCATATTAAATTAATTATTGTTTTAGAAAACCGTTTTAGAATTCTCTTAGAAGGCTCCTACAAAAGAGAATATTCAAATGGAAATTCCAATATTCTTAAAAGGGGAGAGGCTGAGAAATAAATGTAGCATTTTGTATGTGTATGTGTCTGCGTCTGTTTCGACAATTTGTAGTGTAACGTTTAATGTTTTAAGTGAATACTCAGTTGTTCCATTATTGAAGTGTTTATTGTATGTGCATTCATTTTAGCATCTTTGCTGCTGTTTTTACTGTACTGATTTTAAGGTTAACCTGTCTTATGCATTACTGAATATACTAGACTTTATTTATATTACTATTAAATGTTTTTTTTTTTTAAATTTAGTATGATTAAAAATTAAAGTAAACAAAGGCAAAGAAGTAAACTGAATCATAGAAAATGTAAAATGAAAATGCAGCTTTTGTGTAAAACAGAAAATGATGAGTGGGTTAGATCCAGTCTGTAATACCTCCTGGGCCCACCAGGGAGCAGCAGCACATTTTAGGAAAAAACAGTGTATATGATTTTCAAACCTACAGCTTTAAAATTGTGTCACCTTTACAAGTCAATGGCTACATCCCAAAATGCATACAAAACAGTGTGTCAAAATAGTATGCAACCATTAGGAGGCTATTCATCAGTACAGTAAGCATAGTATAGTAGGTGTAGTTAGCTTCTTATTTGAATTTTCCATTCCACCTTAAACGATACAGCAGTTGCATTTAGGCACCAGAATAAAAAGAATATTTGAGAAGGGCAGTTCTAAATTAACAACAGACATTTAAAGCTTCTAAAAGACATTTCATGTTTTACATGAAGCTTGTGACAGACATATTAGTATATATATTTTACCTTATAGCATAAGTGACTCAGTAGAAAGGTCTGGTATAGAGCTTTTCCATTTCTAACACAAATTGGTTCATTTAAACACTGTGTTTAGTGGTCACAAGATGCTGTTGGATGGATATTTTTAGTTGGTGGACTATTCTCAGCCCAGCAGTGACACAGAGGTGTTGAAAAACTCTGAGTGTCTGATCCACTCGTACCAGCAGATGACGTCAAAAAGGGAATTCAACGAGACGTTTCAGGCACCTGGGAAAAGTGTTTTTTGTGGGAGAGAGTTACTCCCTCTGCCATGTCCATTTGAACTCTGTTACTTTGCAGACTATTTACATGCACAAAAAGTTATATAACACACTAAAGGAAAGTGAACAATCTGAAAAGCATGATAAGTCCCCTTTAAAAATGTGTTCTTTATTTGTTTTCATTTATTGAAATGGTAGCAAGCAAGCAAGCAAAGTTTATTCATATAGCGCTTTTTACAACAGGTGTTGTCACAAAGCAGCTTTACAAAACAATCAGCATTACAGAAAGAAATCCAGGTCCAAACCCCTAATGCATCTCTCTTCTGTCTTTAGTAGAGTTCCTCTGGAGCCATACTACAGAAAGTATGTGTGTGGGTTACATGTCTGCGCATGACAGTAAAGCCAAGGTAAGGAAATCTCCATATACTATACAACCAGCTACAGAGTAACACAGATGTATAGTGCCCTCCAGATATTTATTGATAATAGCTAATTGATATAAACAAGAAATACTGTATAAAATTAATTTCATTGTTCCAGAGCTTCTGTTGGTGGCGAGACCAACAGCATCAGCATCTCAGTTTACCTTAATTTTCACTGTTCATTTGCCTTCAGACAGAACCTATTAAATTAAAGGGAGAATTACCAAAAGCCTAAGCAAGTTTACCCCAACAAGGCCATTTATATGTTGGATATATAGCAGTATGTTGGAATAATTACACTGGCAGCCAATATTATGCTAATAATAATAATAATAATAATATTAATTAATAATAATAGTAAACTTTCTGGTTCTTGTAAGGACTCTGCATTCTGGACTAACTGAAGCTTCTTTAGGCTCATACTGGAGCATCTAGATAGCAAGCCACAGAGGTCCAGCTGTAATTGGATGTTACTCTAGATCCAAATTTTGTATTGTCTTTTGTCGTTTAACTTATAATGATCAAAATAGAATTAGGTAGAATCTGGCCTGATTAGTGGAACTGTGTGATCTATGGGGTCAAATGCTATGTTATTATTAAGCAAATAATAAAGCCCTCATCAAAGAAGAGTAAAACATCTTTCGTTGTCTTCAGTAGGTCGAACATCAGAAGATGTTGGCAGTTGAGCTAGTTTGATATAGTGGTGCATAGCTGGGTTCTTCTGGAGTCAACTCTCGATTCCTGCCATTGGAATTGAGGAGTCGACTTCCTGACTCCACTTTATTTTAATCAAGACCACACCAGATGTGTTAATAAAAGGATATTGCAGAGATTAAGCCATCCTAAACACAGTTCATCCTATTTTTTGATAAGCTACAGATTACAGTGACATGATAAAAATTCAGCTTATTTCACATAATAGGGGTTGAGGGGAAACTCGGAATGATGTACTGAGAAAATTATCACTGTTGTCAGAATTCTTTGATTTTGAAGTTGGATGTTCCATGTTCCTTTTTTCTCAAGGCTGAAGATGACTTTGTATTTACCACCTTCTTATTAGACTTTTCAGGTCCACCTTAAATGATGCACCAGTTACCTTAAGGGTGCACATGTACCAGAATGTAACTGCAGTGCCATTTAAGGTGGAACTGAAATTTTAATTAGAAGCTGGGAAATGTGGAGTAGATCTCAGCTTCATCCTCTTTTGCACAATATTCTGTGAAAGCTATTGTTTGTTTTTGGCTTTGTTTTTCGTTCCTTGTACTGTTTCAGATCAGTGTTTATTGCAACCATTATCATGAAGAAAATGAGGAGTTGCAATGTGGGACATATTGAAAACGCTTTTGTGAGCAGAATTTGTGCTTTCAGCGGCTGGTGAGCAGCACTGGCATTGTTTAAAGCCTGGTAATTTAACAAACTCACACTACTGAATCTCCTTCGTGCTTCACATGTGCTTCCGTCAATATTTCCCGCAAGCCCATTACGATGAAATAAGATAGACACGACGAAGAGTCAACTCCAAGCATTTAAACTCTGAGACACTGGCCAATAGTTGACCCTGACTCCCAGGTGTGTAAGAGTCGAAGAATCGTTTATTTTGGAATTGACTCCCCATTACTAGTTTGATGTTAATTTTGTTGCTAGAACAGGTTTTCTGAAATTTTGTTTGATTCAAGGAACAGAACGTATCAATAGGCCTGGAACCTATTTGGCATCTCAAGGCAGATAGCAGATGGTTGGTTTAGGCAGTCTGTCTGTTATCATTATCATTAGCATAACATTGGCTATTTTTACACCTCCTTAATATTACTCTGTTCATTTCTGACTGCCTCAAACATATCTCATAAACACAAGCTATAAATAACTATCATAGAAAATCTACCGTTAGTTAGCACTTTTAGACTCCATCTGATGTCTGGCATTCTGCCTTTGGGTATACAGTTGACTATCGCTGCTTCTTGGAGTCAAGTATAAACAAAGCACTTTCAACAGGTTTCTCAGTGGTTGTCTCATGACATTGAGAAATCCTGTTGGACATGTGAATCAGAGAGTGGTGCAGTGTGTAAGCACTGGAAGCCTTTTAGCTTTGGCTTTGCAACTATGCCACCGAGATGTCAACCATTTGCCCTTCAGTGAAGGCAGTACTGGCAGAGTCAAGAGCATACTATTGTTTTCTGAAGTACAATGAGGTTCTACGAGCAAGTCTGTATATTATCTACTAACTGTGGTCTCCTCTAAGGATCATTCAGCAAGAGATACAATTATCACTAGTGATAGGGGAGGGATAACAAAGCATTTTTTAATTGGAGCTAGCCCTCTTCGGCCATATACTGCTACTTAGGTTGTTGGCTGGTTTGAGTATTCCCATTAAAGGTGTCCTGATTATAATCCAGTCATTTTTTTAAAATCTGGATATCTAAGATAAAAATCTGGTTATGAGAAATTGTGTAATAAGTAAAAACTAAACCCTCCAGGAAGCAAACACACTCTTACTATATGATTTTAAAAACGTCCTGTTTTTTGGTTTGGATAGCTGGCAGGATAGTTTCCTACAGGACAGTCTTTGTGCACCAAAGGCCATTGCCACAGGATCACTGAAGGCCAAAGGGAACTAAAGCATGCTAATGAGGCTGAACTAAAGCCTGAAATTGACTAAGGTGAAACAGGAGAGTAAGAGACAACAAAGCTGGGATTAGCAGCGCCACAGAGACCCAAGCAGGCATTAACCTCTTCAACTCCTTGAGACCACTGGTGGTTCCAAAATGCACTTCGTCATATTCTTCATAACTTTCATATTTCATAAGCTACATTCAAAAAGTGGTTGTCATATGAGAGCTTTAACTGTCTTCTTTCCAGTCAAATAGATGGGTAATGTAATTTTAAACCATTATAATAGAAGAAGCTAAATTCACAATTTTTTTGTCTACTGAAAGTTGACCCATTTTTCCACAAATCTGGGCAATAAGGTATAAACAGATGGTGTCTCTTCAATGATATACTCCGTAAAAATTATTTTTATAAAATAATACAAAGAGCGTCTAAGATTTTTGGCTTTCAGCAGTAAATTGTAAGCATATAGCAATTTGTATATGATCATAAAACACATTTTCTGTTAATTTGAGGGGAGCTTTTACAAAAAAAAAGAAACAAAAAATAAAAATTTACATTTATTTCATGCAATTACTGAATAATTTGCATGACGATTTGGTCATGTAAATTCAGATAGCAAAACCAAAATATACCCTGGAGAATAAGAGGAGACCTTGGAGCTATAAAAAAATAGACAGAGGCTTCTAGAACAGGACACAGTCAGTGAATCTGAAGCGCGGCTATATGTGTGGTGCTTGTGTACACAGTGATGGTTATATTTCTTTTCCAGTACCTTTTTCTTTCAGGCTCAGGAGCTGCCCACCCTGAAGACCAAAGTATACAGTGCTGTAAAAATTTTGCTAATTTGTCACATGTAAATGTTTCAGATCATCCAACTAATTTTAATGTAAGATGAAGACAGCACAGGTAAACATAAAATGCAGCTTTACATTATCATTCTATTTAAGATAAAGATTTATTCAAAACCTATTTTTACCTATGTGAAAATTTCCCCCCTAAACCTAATGACTGGTTCTGCCACCCTTAGCAGTCAAATCATTGTCCTGTTGCATAACCCAACCGCTCTTGAGCTTTAGGTCACAAACTGATGGGCAGACGTTCTCCTTCAGGATTTTCTGAGAGCAGAATTCATGGTTCCATCAATTATGACAAGTCGTCTAAGTCCTGCAGAAGCAAAGCAACCCCAGACTTTCACACTACCACCACCATGTTTAACTGTTGGTATGATGTTCTTATGGTGAAATGTGGTGTTAACTTTATGCCAGATGTAATAGGACCTATGCCTTTCAAAAAGTTCCACCTTTGACTCATCAGTCCACAGCCAGTCAGCAGCAGTTTGCGCCTAGAAGACAGAAAACACTAAAACTATTAAAATAAAGATGCCAAAAATAGCCCTTTATCAGTGGTCAGTTTCCAACCACAGACAGGACCACTGTTGGCTGTATATTTGTGATTGGTGTACTATTCTTACTCAAGCAGTGACATCAAGGTGTTTAACAATCCCAGCAACACAAACAACACCCTCATTTATTTGTACTAGACTTAATGAGATTGCACCAGCCACACTTGTCTTTCACTCCTTGTTCTGAAGAATCATAATACTGAGCACATACTGTCCTATTCTGTTTTCTGCTCTCTCTTGCTCTCTCTCCAGACTCATATATCCAGACTGCCTCCTGGAGCTGTGGCTGGACAATCACTGGCGATTGAAGGTGGTGTATGTCGGCTGGGGGCCATGAATGATTGAAAGCAGATAAAATCCCTTTTTTCAGCAGCAATATGCTCATCGTAATCAAGGCAAAGTCTTATGAATGGAGGTATTAATGTTGACCTTTTTTTTTTAACTATGAACATACAATAAGTTTGTCTTATAAGGCAATTAAATGGTTAACGATATTCAGATCTGAAGCCATGTGTTTCATTAAAATCTCTATTAAAGGATAAACCAAGATAGCTCCTTCTGTATTGCGCAGTTGGTACATAGCTAACAAATAGAGTGTTTGAAAATGAATGAAAACAACTGTTTTACAACATCAAACCATAAACCACAAAGTCAAACCAAACAATAATTTTAGTTTCACTGTCACCATCTTATGTTACCCCATGCAAGTAACATATAGGCACAGAGAGGGTTCATTCAGATTCAGTTTTCACACAGATCCTGTGTTTTGTTTTGCACAGTACATATTTAAGCCATTTTGCTTAGCCTCTTTTTGAAATAATTTATTTAATCTAAACTGAATTAACCGTATATTATTTTAGCAGTGTTTGTTCTAAAAGAAGTGCTTTTAATGCACAGTGCTTGATTTTACAGGGGGATATGGATTAGAAATGATTGAGATTTCTCAGCTTTTTCCTGGGAATGGCAGAACATTATGTACAGCACTAAATGTGAAAACGTGGTAAATATTAAAAGATTTCAGGCAGTTGTGTTTTGTTGTGACCATATTTGCATAAAAATAAATTCTCTGAGTATTAACAATTTGGCCATTCCCATCTATAATTTGAACTATTCATGAATTACACTTCTGTGTAAAGCATAGTTATGACTTGTGCTGTATTCCAAGCGCTATGGGCAAATTACATTGGATACAAATCTAATAACTAGCTAATAAGCTAATAATTAATGGAAGCTTATGTCTCCTATTCAGCATGGTGTATTCTGCAAGCCTAATTCATCAAGCAAATGTTAAACTAGCATTTCATGTGTTATTCGTCATGCTATTTGTACCGTGTTCAACATGGTATTCCTTTCAGCCTCATTGGTTTGACAGAATTGTCGATTTTATTTAATTTTCATGTTTTTTTTCTCTCACTTCAGTACCCAGCGTGCATTATGCAAATACATCATAGAACCATCGGTTATCCTTATGTTGCTTGAGCAATTCTGACTCCTAGCCTTGCCACTGAGCTACAGGCTAATAGCATTAGTGCAACTCTAATTTATTTACAGTTTTGTTTGTACTTTGGCTGGACATGATGTCCAACCTGATTTACCAGGTCACAGAGAACCCAGTTGACTACATTTGGCGTAAAGTGATTTTTTTCTCTCAATGAGCTATTCATTTCAAGAGTGAATTTACTATGTGTAGTGTTACAGCTGGAGCCATATTTTTGAACAAGCAATGTTAATCAGGTAAACAATGAAACATTTTAAATTAGCTTTCAACAAGGTTAAATATGTGAATGAAACTGAATTTCTGCTCCATAATACCCTTGAGGTATTTGCACTGAATTTCAGAAAATCAGTCAAATGCATCAAGAACATAGCAGAAAATGTTCTCCAAGAAAACATGTCCCCTCTTCCCATCTCTGTTTGCTTCCTTAGTTGATTGTTCCCTAGCTGTATTTTTGCTGATCTGTGTACAATGAATTTTATTTCTAGTAATGTTCAATTTAAAATTCAGCTTGGTTTGAAAATGTCTGGAATTATTTGAAGCACATTTGTGTAGATAAAGAAATTGTTTCAGAATGTTTATCAAACCAGCTTAGTCATACGATGGGAAATGGGATTTGATTTGTCAATATGTTTAAAAAACATATCACACTTATGGAACTTTATAGCAGTTATGCAGATGTCACCTAGAGTCTATTAAATGTTTCACAAGAGTTTCAAAATATATATCTCGCTGCTGTCAGAACAAAACCTCGTATCTCCGTTTTTGCCGTTTTTCAGTTTTTGACATTATCTGAAAATATCTGTTGCCCTGTACATTGTGTGTTAATTTCATGATGAATAGACCAAAAGAAATGACAAAGAAGTACTTGGAAAAAAGTCTGTTTCTGTTGACTTGCAGTAAAAGTCAAAAAGTAAAAGTGCGCTTTTTCCTTCTTCTGTAAAGTTATAATTTTGGAGATACAAGGTTTTTGGAGATGCGAGGTTACACACACAGACACACACACACACATTTAGTCAAAAGAGCATTTGCGAGGTTCAGGCAGTGATGTTGGACGAGAAGGCTTGGCTCTCAATCGACGTTCCAGTTCATCAGAAAGGTGTTCTATGGGCTTGAGGTATCTGTGCATATGGAGTCGAAAACGGGTCAAAAAGATTTTGAGCCTGAAAAACGATATTCACAAATGTACTGAAATTTGCAGTTGTGTTTGAGCAAGTACATACATGTAAAATCCAGATTCACAAATAATTTGGAATCTGCAAATTTGAAAACGAAAAAAATAAATCAAATTCACAAATGCATAAAAATATTTTGAATATATAGAAAGGATTTTTGAATGTGTAAAAAAGATTGGCATTTGTAAATGAAATGTTGTGAATGTGTGAATCAGTACTACTCAAATGATTTACATTGTGCCAGACCATAAAATCAAATGTAAAGTTTTAAGTTCAAAGTGTGACAGTGGGAGTTTTTCTGTGTGACAGTACAAATCTGCGAACATGTCTCCCTTTCTGTTTGTGTGAACTTCTTTTTACAACTACATATTTTTGACCTTGTTTTGAAGGCAAATTGATGGACCAATAGGAAAGCTTGAACTGGTTCAATCAGAAAGTGAGTCTTACTTATCCAGTCACAACCGTGACTGGTTGCTGTCAGTCAAAGCTTTGATAAGCTGTTGGTACCTGCCTCTAATGGCACTTCCACTGAGGGCATTTGTGGACATATTGGTATCTGATTTTGGTAGTATGTATACATGTTAGGTTATAGAACACAAAACTATGGACATTTGACTTTGCAGTCAGTTATGTTAATATAATAATATTGCCATGCACTCGTCCCCCTGCTACCATTCATTCCGGTAGATAGTGTTTCCTGGCACCTGCCAAATCCAGATTCCCAGATGTGCTTGATTTAATACGCCTGTTAGCAATGATCAGTCTTGTCAATGCGCCTGAACTCTCTTCATTAAGTACACCTCCTTGTATCTACAGTCCTTGTTCATTTTATCAGCTCCGTTTACCATATAGATGCACTCTGTAGTTCTACAATTACAGACTGCTGATTATCTGCACACTTTGTTAGCCCCTTTTCACCCTGTTCTTGAGTAGTCAGGACCACCAAAGAGCAGGTATTATTTGGGTGGTGGATCATTCTCAGCACTGCGGTGACACTGACATGGTGGTGGTGTGTTGGTGTGTTGTGCTGGTATGAGTGGATCAGACACAGCAGTGCTGCTGGAGTTTTTAAACACCGCAGTGTCCACCAACCAAAAATATTGCAGCAGCAGATTAGCTATTGTCTCTGACTTTACATTTACAAGAGGCACGTCTAATAGAGTGGACAGTAAGTGGGCACAGTGTTTAAATACTCCAGCAGCACTGCTTTGTCTAATCCATTCATACCAGCGCAACACACACTAACACAGTGCTGAGTATGATCCACCAACCAAATAATACCTGCGGTGTCCTGTGGGGGTCCTGACCATTGAAGAACAGGGTAAAATGTTGTACCTTAAGGTTCTACCTTTTGAACTTGTTTATTTATTTATTTATTTTTGGGAAATATAGTCATTCTGAAACTGATGCCTGCAACATGTTCCAAAAAGTTGGTACTGGGGCAGTTTGGAATGTTTCAAAAAAACCTCTTAAACAGGTGATGTAATAATGTTTGGATATAAAAGGAGCATCCAGAGAAGGCCTAGTCCTTTATGAGAGAAATCTCATGCATAGGCCAGAAACCACAACTGCCCTTATTCCTGCCCTTAACCTGACTGTAAACCAGTGGGCTGAGCTGAAGAGGAGAGATTGCAAGCAACGAGCCCTTAACTGAAGAGAGTTTGTATGGAAGAATGATTTCAGATGCCTTTCTCCTACCTCAAACTGCATAATAAGACACTTAGGCTACGTTTACACAGCAGGTAAAAGTGGCCCAAATCTGATTTTCTCAACAAATCCGATTTTTTGGCTGTTCACATTATCTTTTAAATGTGACCTGTATGCGACATCAGTCTGAACAGATACGCTCCTAAACCGACCCGCATACGCAAAAGAACAGTGCCTCACGTGGCGGCTCATCTAGAGGTACACAATCATGACGGCCAGCGAACGCCAGTCGCTCTCGGAGCTTTCAGTTTCGGCTTCACCAGCATCGCATTGAGCGAGTATAAAGTTCCAGTGGTTGACAGCTGGACTCATCACCCACAGTGTGTTCGAGTTCGCCGAAAAGGGCACGTTATTCGGCCACGGCCACTTCTTCGGTTCGAGTCCTCGGATTCTTTAAACTGTTCGCTGACACTGCAGCCTCGGTCTCCTCCACTCGCATTCGGCCGTTTCGTTCGAAATCTCCTCGAACACGGAGCGGCTGCGATATTTCTCTTCTGATTTTTTAGTACAGAAACATCAGCCTAAATGTTTGAGTCTCAGCAGCGCAAGGTTGAATGTCGAGTTGTACTGGCGTAAAAGTCGCATGAATTCCGATCTGGCTGTTCAGACAGAGTCGCACTGCCGCAGATCGGATACGTATCGGATTTCAGTACCACATATGAAAGCGTCTCAAATCGGAATTGAAAATGTCAGATTCAGTGCGGTTTTTGCTGATCACACAGCCACACAGATGACACATCTGTGTCACATTTGAGGAAAAAGATCGGATTTGGGCCACTTTTACCTGCTGTGTGAACGTAGCCTTAGTATTCTAATCTTGACAAAGGGATGGAGCAAACAGATGCATGGTTGCCAATAACTGTGAAACATGGTTTTGAGAAAATAGTTTCTCATATTTTCAGCATTTCATCAAGCGAATGAATTTGCTTATCTTTACCAGTGGAGGGCACTATATTAACGTTTTTTTTTCTGGGAAAGCCATTACATTTGCTATGCATCTCCTCAAGAGAACAATGTGTTAAAATTATATTACCTGATATTTTTTGGAAGAAATTCAATAAAAATGAAAACATTTTGCATACTGTAGAACTTAGGTGGTGGGAATTAAAGGTCTATT